GTCTTTGATCTGCTGGGATTCCTAACATATGTGAACTCTCAACACACTTTCTCTAATTCTACCAGATGTAGCCATAGCGAGACCATCAACTTCTAACTTGCTGTAGTTATAGATCTCTTGCTTTCTATTATACAGGATGGATTTCCAGATGTTCTTTTGATTTGTAGTTTGCTCGTTTCTCTCCAAGAAATTGTCAAGAGACGGTCTGGACTGGTGGACGATTTATCTTTGTTCTAAAAGATGGCATTGTTAGGCCACCCAGTAAGTTAAACAAAGAGAGTACTTTGCAGACTCTGACAGAGTTGGTTTAGATTTTAGAAAGAAAAAAAAACTGAGTTGAAATGGAGGCTTCTGGCTCTGGATATGATCTATCTTTGAGTATGTGAAAAGAATATGTATTCCACTGTTGTTGGGCGGAGGGTTCCATGAATGTTGAGTAGATCCTATTGATTGATGGTGTTATATACTTGCTGATTTTCTGCCTAGTTGTTCTATTAATGGTTGAGAGAGGAGGGGTGAAGACTCCACCTGTAACTGTGGATTTGTCTATTTCTCTTTCAGTTTTATCAATTTTCGTTTCCACGTTTTGCATCCCTAAATGCATACACATTTAGAATTACCGTTCTTGGTGTATTGATCCCTTTATTATCATGTAATGTCCCTTCCTGTCTTTGGTAACCTTCATTGTTCTTAAGTCTACCTGATATTGATTTATATAGCCACTCCTCATTTTCTTTATTCAATGTTTGCATGCTTTTTCCATCCTTTTACTTTCAAGCTACCCATATAGTTAAATTTGAAGTGAGTTTCTTGTAGACCGCATATAATTTGGCCATGTGTCTTAATTCATTTTGTCAATCTTTTTTTAAATTTTTTATTGTTGTTAATCACCACACATTACATAATTTGTTTTGGTGTAGTGTTCCATGATTCATTGTTTGTTCATAACACCCAGTGCTCCATGCAGAATGTGCCCTCCTCAATACCCATCACCAGGCTAACCCATCCCCCCACCCTCCTCCCCTCCAGAACCCTCAGTTTGTTTTTCAGAGTCCATCATCTCTCCTGGTTCGTCTCCCCCTCTGACTTACTCCCCTTCATTCTTCCTCTCCTGCTATCTTCTTCTTTTTCTTTTTTCTTAAAATATGTTGCGTTATTTGTTTCAGAAGTACAGATCTGTGATTCAACAGTCTTACACAATTCACAGCGCTCACCGTAGCACATACCCTCCCCAATGTCTATCACCCAGCCACCCCATCCCTCCCACCCCCGACCACTCCAGCATGTCAATCTCTTTTTAATTAGACTATTTATTTGAACACTTTTAGGTTTACATAAAACTAGAGCAGAAAGTACAGAGTTCTCATATACTTCCTAATCCCCACCCCCAGTTTTCCCTCTTAGTAACATCTTCCATTAGCGTGCTACATTTGTTATAACTGATAAACCAATGTTGATACCTTATTAACTAAAGCCCATAGTTTACATCGGGATTCATTCTTTGTGTTGTACATTCTATGAGTTTTAACAAATCTATAATGAAATGTAGCCACCATTACAGAATCATATAGAATAGTTTCACTGTCCTAAAAAGCCCCTGTGCTCCATCCAAGCCTCTTTTATTCTCTCCCTCCCAGCCCTGGCTAATTTCTTTTGTTGTTCTATTTTTTTAATCGGTATAGATTAAGCCTGGGTGGTTCAGGTCATGATCCCAGGGTCCTGGGATCGAGCCCCGCATCGGGCTCCCTGCTCCACGGGAAGCCTGCTTCTCCCTCTCCCACTCCCCCTGCTTGTGTTCCCTCTCTCGCAGCCTCTGTCCAAAAAAAAAGTCATATAATTATTGATTTGTTAGGGTTTATGTTTACCTTTTTTTTTTCTTTTCTGTTCCTTCTCCAAAGATGTCCACGTCCCAATCGCTGGAATCCCTATGAATATGTTACTTTACATGGCAAAAGAGACTTCTAAAATGCGATTGACTCAAGGACCTTGAATGGGGAGATTTTCCTGAGTTGTCTGGGCAGATATAATCTACTCAAATGGGTCCATAAAATCAGAGAAAATTCCCTGGCAGTGGTTAGAGGAAGATGTGATTATTGAAGAAAGGCACAGAGAAATGTTATGTTGGTAGATTTGAAGATGAAGGGGGCCATTAGCCAAGGAATGTGGGTGACCTCTAGGAGCTGGAAAGAGCACGGAAATGGTTCTTTCCTAGAGACTTCAGAAAGAAAAGCAGTTCTCTGAAAACTTTATTTTAGCCGGTGAGATTTGTGTCAGACTTCTAACCCACAACTAACAAGCTTGCATCATCTAAGCTGCTAAATTTGTGGCAATTTGTTACAGCAGCAATAGAAAACTGAAACTCTGTTTCAGGTGTGTTTGTAGTTGCTCACTGAAGCAATTTTATCATGGTGCTTTATTTTTTTCTTTTTTAGATTTAGTTATTTCAGAGACAGAGAGACTGCAGGGGGAGGCAAGAAGAGGAAGCCGACTTCCGGATGAAGAAGAAGCCCAATGTGCGGCTCCATGCGGGGCTCGACCTCTTCACCAAGAAATCATGACCTGAGCGGAAACCAAGATTCAGACGCTTAACCAACTGAGCCACCCAGGTGCCCCTATCATGGATGCTTTAAAATCTTTGTCACATAATTTTAATTGTCGTCTTGGTGTTGGCACCTTTTTTTTCATTCAGTTTGAGATCTTCCTAGTTCGTGGTGTAATTTTCGACTGAAACATGGACATTTTCGTATTATAAGACTCTGGACCTTATTTAAATCTTCTTTCTTCGCTGGCTTTCTCTGATCCCACTGGCGGAGAAAGCCCGGAACGCCTTGTAATTGCCAGATGCTGTAGAAAGCCAAGTTTCCCACTCAGCCTCTTATGACACCAGAAATGGGGTTCCCATTATTGCTGGCCAGTGGTGTGAGTCTAGGCGCCTCCTGGTCTCCACTGACACTGTGGGGGAGCAGGGAAATACGTCACTACTGACTGGTGGGGATTAAAGTCCAGGCTCCCTTCTGAGTCTTTTGCTCACACCACTCCAGTGGGGGTGTTGGGGCGCCTCATTTTATCCTAATGAGGGTGGAAGTCTAGGCTCCCCATTTGATTTTTGCTGGGTGTGTGGGTAAAGCCAGTTTTTGTCTGTGGTGTTTGGCTGGAATGGAGTGGTTATTGTCTAAATGCTTTGTCTTACTAGGCTGCTCCTTTGCTGGTCCTTCAGCTAGGAAAAGCTTTTGTTGTGGCTTTTGTTTTGTGCCATTTAGAATTTCCAGTTGCCGGCTTCTTCAGTATCATCTGGATATATGAGCCAAAAAGAAAACCCAGGGAAGTCATCACTCTTTCCTCAGATCCCAAGGTCCCCAGTCAGTCTGCCTCCTCTCCAACTTTCAGGCTTAAGTTTGCTTTATACATAATATCCAGGGCTTTTTAGTTTTATAGCAGGAGGATTAGGGAAAAGGATGCTTATACTTACTTCTTTATCCCAGAAGTAGAAGTCTGCCTAAGGATCATTTTTAAAGTTTTTTTTTCCCCTCCTTATAGGTTTTTGGACATTTTAGAAAAATTTTTTTTCCAGGCTACATTTTTTCTTTCTCTTTCTTTCTTCCTTCCCTTTTCTTCCTTCCTTCCTTTTTTTTTCTTTCTCTCTTTCTTTCAGATTTTATTTTTTTAAGGTAATCTCTACATCTAACATGGGGTTTGAACTCATGACCCTGAGACCAAGAGTGGTATGCTCTACCAAATGTGGCAGCCAGGCACCCCTCCAGTCTACATTTTCTTTTTTTAAAAGATTTTATTTACTTAAGAGAGAGCAAGCAAGAGAGAGAAAGAGAAAGAGAGAGAGAGAGAGAACGAGAACAAGTTGGGGGAGGGGCAGAGGGAAGAGAAGCAGACTCCCTGTTGAGCAGGGAATCCCATCGCGGGCTGGATCCCAGGACCCTGAGATCATGACCTGAGTCGAAGGCAGATGCTTAACTGACTGAGCCACCCAGGCGCCCCTAAATTGCCAAGTTTTAAGACATTAAGACAGACTTTCAAACTCAGTAATTTAGTAGTTAGCCAGAATTTTACTTCTTAGTATTTAGTCTACAAAGAAAAGCAAATATATAAAAATTAATATTAAAAAGTGAAGAATATTAAGTAATCAGGTAATTTACTATTAAAGTGTAATTATATTTTAGAATTCTTTCCTGAATATTTAATATACTATTAAAGTAAAATTTTCATTTTTTAAAAAAGATTTTATTTATGTGACAGAGAGTGAGAGAGCACACAGCAGGGGGAGTGGTAGGCAGAGGCAGAAGCAGACTCCCCACTGAGCAAGGGAGCCTCATGCGGGACTCAATCCCAGGACCCTGAGATCATGACCTGAGCCAAAGGCAGATGCCCAACTGACTGAACCACCTACGTGCCCCTAAAGTAAAATTTTCTAAGAAATTTGGTTATCAGCATATGAAATGATTACAAAAATACCAAGTTATAGTTGTGAACATATTCATGCAAAGAATCCAGAGAGTTGATCATCTCAAGGCATAAGAGAAAGACATGAAAGAGGGGTAACTACCCAAATAAACAAACCTAACTAAATGAGAATATAGTATTGTCCAGATTTAGATGAACAAACAGAGGGATCACTCTACTGCTTCCCAAAAAGGGAGGACACCTGTCTTTTGCATCCTAAAAGGAACAGCTACTCCTATGAAACTGAGGCCCCTCTATATCTTCTACACCTAAGAAATAGCACTTTCTATTTTAAAAAATTTTGAGTGGTGTTTTTTAACCAGGTAGGCACATTCCAAACTTTCTTTCTTCCTTTTACTGAGAATCCCTGTCACAGACTGCTACTGTTCCTAATGGGAGGTATCTTACTCCTCCAAGGGTTTGGGCTGAAAAAGATGCACATCATTGCCATAGAGACTCAGGTATAATAAACTTTTAGTTCCTATGGTCGGTATGTATCACGTGTAATAGTTCAGTTCTGATTTGTAAAAATTCCAGATTCAGAATACTTGAAAAACATGTATCATTTTATTTGTACACTTAAAAAGTTGTACATAGAAAGTTGTAATACAGTTCTAAAAAAACTGGAAGAACTGTCAGGGAGAAGGGGAGCGGTGTTACCTTTTATTGACTGATCATTAAGGAAGTTAGAGAAAGAAAACAAAAACACAGTAAAATGTTTAAAAAATTAAAGAACATTTTCCAGGTACAAATTTTATAAATACAAAACAAATTCACAAATTATTTTGAATGCTAAATAAATATCTAGTTAATAAACTCAGACTTAATACCTCCAGCCAGCACTGGTACAGCACTTCAAGGATATAAAATTGGATTCATTCATGTGTAGTGTTGAAAGAATGTGCTCATTAAACAATTCTTAGACATATATACTTTTCTAAACTGTGCTATAATAGATTTATCTGTATACAGATAAATCTTCCTTAATACCACTTCTAAAAAAAAAATCAATGACAAAATAAATCACAGGTGAAAAAATATTTTCAAAGATATTGGGACACATGAATGATCTCAAAATGTACAAAAACCTCTGTAAACCAGTACTGTATCCAATACATCTATCAAACTTATTAGATACTGAACAAAACTGTAGCAAAGGAAATCTTTCCTACATTCTCCTGAGTGCTTAATATTAAAATTGAGAATATAGTGCAGGCCACACTTCAGTGTGGTCAATCAGTTGTTATTGCTTTATATATATATGTCTGCTTTAGAGCATGATTTAATGTTCCATTTTCGTGAACAATTTGTTTTCCTCAAATATATCCTTTAGAAGGACAAAATTAGATTCGTGACTTTTTTGCGGCTGGTGGTGTGCTAACTTGATCCACATTCCCAGGTGTGACATGGAGTCCAAGTTTTTGAGCCTGAATATGAAAAAATGCTTGAAGCCTAGTTCCAGCTTTTGCTTCACTTGTGTTACGAGGGTTGTACTCAAAGCAGTTCGAAAACATTAACTCAATATCATCGATAAATTCCGCTAGAAAGAAAAAACCAAATGAGATTAAAAGTACAAAATAAAAGTACATAAAAGTATTTTGTTTATATATCTAGAAATGTCATTAAGAAAATGGAAGCCCACGTTTTTCTTTAGAAATTGAAGCCTCTGAAACAAGGTAGCAGATCTAAAGCTTAAAACTGTTTAACTACAAATGCTTTAACATTGCTCTACTGAAACTATGCAATTATGTAATTAGGAATGTTACATAATTGTGCACTTCTATTAAGATCAGATTCTACAAAATATCTAACTCATTCAAGTCCCTATCCATCTTTCATCTACATAGACAAGCATTTTAGAGACCTCCTGGGATGCCATCTACACAATCCGTTAATATACATCATTTAAATAACAAGAAAAACAGCAGTTACCTCTTTAAACAAAAATAATTATCAGAGAAAAACATAAATTACTTACATGCTAATTTATATTCACATTTGTTCACTTTTTCACGAATTATATTTAAGGCAATGGGCTTTTTGATGATGTCATAATAGTCTGGGACCTGTAAAATAATTCAAATATATCTCTCCTATAGAAAATTTATCAGAGATAAGTGGCCAAATATGTGAAGGTTCTGCACTTAAAAGCAACTGAATGTTAATCTCTGAATACTATTATTCCATTAAAACCACTTAATATCTTTCAGTCACTATAATGTTGTAGAAGCTTATTTGATACTATAAAAAATGACAATTTATTGTGAAAAGAAAAAGCTTATGATTCTGCTTTGTGCTCTCTTTCTGTCTCTATTTCTCTCCACAGAGATACAAATATGTATCTATAAAGTTATTTAATGAGCATTATTGCATTTGTAATAATAAAATGTATGTGACAAAAAATTCAGCGCAAAAACTACTCAGGGAAAATGAGTTAGAGTCAAACTGAGATTTAATTTTAATTTTTTAATTTTATTTTTTTAAAAGATTTTTATTTATTTGAGAGAGAGAGAATGAGAGAGAGAGAGAGCATGAGAGAGGGGAGGGTCAGAGGGAGAAGCAGACTCCCCGCCGAGCAGGGAGCCCGATGTGGGACTCGATCCTGGGACTCCGGGATCATGACCTGAGCTGAAGGCAGTCGCTTAACCGACTGAGCCACCCAGGTGCCCGAGATTTAATTTTTATAGGATGCTATTCAATGGTAATTAATCCTTCACATTAAGGTATAACTTTTTCATTCAGAAACCTTCACCTAACACACCTAACAAGTGAGACCCTTTATAATCTACTTGTGCCTCTCCAACACATCTGGTGTTCCATTCAAACTACCCATCATTTCCCATATTCTCACTTCTGGGTCTTTAACTTACCATGCCCTTTTCATGCAATGTCCTTATTTCATTTCTCACTGTTGATATTCCACCTATCTTTTATGACCAGACCAAACAGTTCTTCCATTAAAAACTTTTACATTCCTGCTATTCCCTCCCTCCAAAATGCTCAAATCAATCTCCTTTTCTTCTCTACTTCTGGAAGTCCATTAGAACTTCTATTACAGGGGGACGGGGTAACCGGGTGATGGGTACTAAGGAGGGCATGTGTGGTGATGAGCACTGGGTGTTATATGCAACTAATGAATCGTTGAAAACGACATCAAAAACTAATGATGTACTATATGATGGCTACATAATAAAAAAATTAACCTGATTCTATTAATAATAAAAAAAAGAACTTCTATCACAGCACTGTAACACTGTCCTATTCTGCTTCCCGTATATGAATAACTCCAACACCATCTCAAATGCCTTAGTTTTAGGCCATCTGTTTTCTAAGAGTACCTATCTTTCACATTATTGTTTTCACACCGTGGTCTCTGGACCAGCGCCATCAGCATCATTCCAGACCTAGTGAATCAAGAACTCTGGGGTGAGGCCCAGTTACCTGTGTTTTAACGAGCCCGCCCAGGTGATTCTGGTGTATGCTGAAGTTTGAGAACAGCTGTTTTGCATAACAGAAGTAACAATAGTAGCACACAGTTGAATTAAATCTACTCATACTCATTACACAGAATAAACACACTGAAGCTATTTCAACATTACTGTCATCATGCATGAGAATCAGTCAGGGTTGGAAGGGGCTGAGGAGAGAATGCTCTCGAATGCCCTTGCTTTCAGTGTAGAAACTAACTTTCCAAGTGTTTAAAAACAAAGTATATGGTGACTAACGGGTGGTTTTGACTACCTCAAAGTTGCCAAGCAGACTAAATCAGGTAATATACATGAATACATTTTATCAAGTTTTTTTTTAAATGTAATTTTATTTTATTATGTTCAAGTTTAATGATATTACCTGGATTTTGGAAACAAGTCTCAAAAACGGCCAGCTGTCATCATGCCGTACCAGTTCCACAACAAGCTGTTCAAAAGCAGACAATTCATGAACTCCTCCTTGTCGGCCTGAACTCCTTCGACTCAGGGTCATAGGAGAGGATTCTAAATAAATAATTAATTTTAGGTGATGACAAAGCAAAATATTTGATCACTACAAGCTAAATGGGTATAAAAACACAACCTAAATTCAAACAGAAAACTGACATTCGATATATAGTGATATAAATTAACTTACATTCTGAAACATGAAAATCTGGACTAAATATTCACTCTTTCCTTTGTTTTAAAAAAGACTTTATTATTTATTTTTATTATTTTTATGATTAGCAATTTTTTAAAAAAAGTTTTTATTTAAGTAATCTCTACACCCAATGTGGGGCTTGAACTCACGACCTCGAGATGAAGAGTTGCATGCTCTTCCGACGGAGCCAGCCTGGTACCCCTAAAGATTTTATTTCTAAGTAATCTTTACATCCAATGTGGGGCTTGAACTCACAACCCCAAGATCAAGAGTTGCATGCTCCACCGACTGAGTCAGCCAGGTGCCCCCACTATTTCCTTTTTGATCATAAAATTTCCAAATTAATTAAACATTCAGTGGGAACAAGTAAAAACACTGTACTATAAAAGAAAGTTCTTAGAGCAAAGTCTATAGATTATTTTTTAGCCCATTTTATTAAAAATATTTTTTCAACTATAATAAAAAGAAAGCAAGCAATTCTCCAGAATTTCCTGAAACACATCCTTAGGAAAGCAAAGATCTAGCAAGTAGGCTTCTTTATAAATTACCTTGCATAAGAGAAATGTAATGCTTAATAATGAAGTAAAAGATTATCTTAAAGATAATCTCCCTATTTATTTGAGGGAGGGAGAGGGAAGGAAGGAGAGAGAGAGAGTGAAAGAGAGCAAGTGGGGGGAGAAGCAGAGGGAGAAGGACAAGCAGACTCCACGCTGAGCATGGAGCCTGAGGTGGGGCTTGATTGCACGACCCTGGGATCACGACCCAACCCAAAATCAAGAATCAGTCCCTCAACCGATTGAGTCACCCAGGCGCCCCTCTTATCTTAATTTCATATGGGGACTTCCTTAAAGCAAAATGCTTTCTCAAAAAACCCAAGGTATATATAACAAAATCTAAAGTGTATGAATTAGTATAAAAGGGTAGCATAGTTCATATTATGAATTCAGGTGTTTAAATTCTCTACTTAAATGTAAATGCATACATTTCCCCCTTCGTTTGTCACTGGAACCAGGTTAGTAATTTTATAAGTCAATCAAAAAATTTTTTTTCTTAGAGTTTTTTAGAATACAAATGTTTTAGGTATACTATGTTTCCAAATAGCTTGAAGAAGAGCAAAATAGATAGGTAAGGGGATAGGAAAAGCTAAATTAGATCTTGGTGCCAAGTTACCTGATACAATACCTTTCCACCATCCTGACAATCTAGTGACTGCATAAACAGACTGTCTTCCATTCTTTCACCAAATGAACTCCTTAATCCTGTCATGTATTTGAATAATGCAATACAACCTACCTACAGTTCTTCAAGGAACAGTATCATTTTTTATGTCTAATTTCATTTTCTGGAACTATTAAAGTTTTATAATTACTGACATTAAAAGAAAAAAGAATAGAATCAAAGAGATAAATAAAGAGATTATTATTTGGATAAAGATTACTATAAACAACAATTATCAGAATTAAAAAGATAGCCAATGATCACTCCCTAACAATATTACTCCCCCATTTCTTCCCCGCCCCCAAATTCAGTATGTCAGATAGGAACCTTCCCAAATAACCCAAAGTAGCTTGTCTAGGTGATGATGAGTAGGTGTATTTTAAAGGAGGAAAGGGTAGAACTGAATGAAATGTGTTATAATGGGTTCTACTGACACTACTGAAATGTTGGCCAAATCTATCCATTAGAAACAGGACACTGCAAATTTCTCACAACTACCTTGCTACCCTACTAGAAAAATACTCATAATTTACCTTATTCCCCAAATAGCTGCCCTTTCAATGAATATTATGCTTCAGGCCAGGTTGCTCCCTAGTCACTTAGTCTATCTTAGTCACAGCCTTTAAAAAATGATGCAAAATATCTCAACACTCAATCTTCCCAAATGATTCCATTTTCTTAGGTAAGAATAATTTAAATTAGACTTCTTCATACCTGTAGATTGTCTTTTCCTTCCTCTTCTCTTGGATTCACTATCTTGGAGAGAAAGTTTTGGAGTAACATTGAGAGATCTTGACTTCTCACTTGACTTTGTGGCAATGACTCTGAAGTTAGGGAAGTTGGGACTATTTTCTGGTGTATTATTAGCACTCTTCCTGCCTCTGCGTCTTCTACGAGGACTAAGTAGTTCCACAAATACATCTGCTTGCAGTGGGCCATAACTCTGGCGAGTAGAACGACCGGCAATTCTTAAAGATTTAGTTTCTGTTGGAGGGGCAGACTTTATCTTTCTAAGGCTTCTACCAGTGGTTTTAGAGGAAACAGTTGTTTTGGGTGTACTCTGCTGACTCCTTGAAGTATATCTTCCAGGATCTTGTCGTTGGCCACGACTTGAGAAAGAAGAGCTAAGTCTCCCTCTTGTTTTAATTGGCAATCTAACTTGCGGTCTTCCTCGTTTTGGTGGGCTGTAAATATTGTTAGAAAACATAATTACTGTACAGAGAAACGATGCCCATAGATAATTTCTATTCCCCTTGTTCTACTCTTCAGCCAGTGAGTTCTACATACATTTCTTTGGTGTCCTTATGCTACAGGAGACCATCACTCTTCATAACCACCGATGCTGAGGTAACCTACAGGCTTGGTCAAAGTAGGCCCTAAACCTGTGGTTCCTGAATACCATGCTAAGAATCTCTTTGCCATCTTCTGATTCTTACTGTAAAATATAAAACTAGGTTCAATCTTTTATCTTACTTTTATTCTTAGTAAATTCTACCCCCAACGTGGGGCTAGAACTCACGACCCTGAGCTCAAGAGTTACACTCTCCACTGACTCAGCCAGCCAGGCACCCCTAGGTTCGATCTTTTAATTGCCTTTAAGTTGTAGACAAGGATGAAACAAGCCCTTTAAGCCTCTTTTTATCCATCTCCCCACATACCTGGACTTCCAGTTTACCTAAAGGATTTCCAAGAATTTTCCAAATTCTTTATTTTTTTTTTTTTAAGATTTTATTTATTTATTTGACAGAGAGAGACACAGTGAGAGAGGGAACACAAGCAGGGGGAATGGGAGAGGGAGAAGCAGGCTCCCCGCTGAGCAGGGAGCCCGATGCAGGGCTCGATCCCAAGACCTTGGGATCACGACCTGAGCCGAAGGCAGATACTTAATGACTGAGCCACCCAGGCGCCCCAAATTCTTTATCATCTTTATGTTTAACATAAATACTGCCCTTATAATCTACAAGGAAGACGGCTCCTGCTAGTTGGAGTGAGTAAAAAAATAACAACTTGCTTACAGCGGATGCGGTAGCTCTCTCTACTTATCCTCTGCAGACTGGCCTTTTTGTACCTTGTCAGTTCAAAGTTGCCCTTGCTTTACATCCACTTTTCTGATTCCACATGAATGGGGTTCAAATGTTAAAAAGGTGGGGAGGTCTTAGGGACAAATAAGGGGAGAATACTCCAGCGCTGCCACGCATGGGAGTAGCCACATTCATTAGGCCTGGCGACACAGCTTGCTAAGCTGCCAAATACCTGGCTATATGGTAGGACAGGAGTTGCTTCTGGATGCTAATGTGGAAGGAGTATAACAATACCATGTGCCTACTGGCATCTCTCTCTCTCTCTCTCTCTGCAGGTGCCAAGATCACCAATATTTGAGTATAACTCCTCAAGAAAGCAAGAGGGGCACTGGGAAGCTGCATTCAATCATCTTTATCTCATGAATATCCTCTGGAACGCTTATTTGCTGCTTTAGGCATAAAATTAAGTAAAATCAAACTTGACGGGGGTCTGAATTGGTATTCCTGTCCAAATGTGAACTCATATTTGATTTTATGATCTGGCTAAACTCACAAAGGTACTACACTCCCTCAGGAATAACTTCAAATGCTCAGAATACTAAAGCAAGGATAACTTTAGGCCACTATATTACACACCAGTTTTTAAAAAGTTATGGGGCATTGGGGAGGGTATGTGCTATGGTGAGCGCTATGAATTGTGTAGGACTGTTGAATCACAGACCTGTACCTCTGAAACAAATAGGTTATATGTTAAAAAAAAAGTAGTAGGTAGGGAAAAATGAAGGGGGAAAATTGTAGGGGAGACGAACCATGAAAGACTATGGACTCTGAGAAACAAACTGAGGGTTCTAGAGGGGAGGGGCTGGGAGGATGGGTTAGCCTGGTGATGAGTATTAAAGAGGGCACGTTCTGCATGGAGCACTGGGTGTTATACACAAACAATGAATCATGGAACACTACATCAAAAACTAATGATGTAATGTATGGTGATTAACATAACATAATAAAATAAAATTAAGAAAAAAAAAGTTATAGGCCCCAATCATTCCATTTGTATTTGAGTAGTCAAGAGACTGTCTAGTTATGACTCACAAACTCATTTTATTGTATGTTAGGACTTACCTGACTTCCTCCTCTTCTTGAGAGTCATCTTCATCTTGTTCTATCTCATACTCCTCCTCCTCACTTTGACCCTCTTCATCATCATCATCAACTTCATCATCCTCACCTTCCATACTGTCTTCCATCTCTTCATCACTTTCCAAGGATGGTCTCTGTCTAGAGGAGAGTCTCCTAGAACGTTGCTTTGGCCGACACTCTGGACAAAACCAATCTCCTTCAGGCACAGTCTTGACAAATCACAGAAATGATCATTAGTCATCTGTCACTCAAAACCTCAACCACTCAATTCTAATCTAAGAAGTATAAGAGGGAAAAACTACCTTGAGCTTTGGTCGAACACAGTAGGTATGATGACCCCGATCACAGCCATCACAAAGTACCATGTTTTCAGCATCACCCTTCTTTCGGCATATCTTGCAACGAGCATTCAGTATAGATTTAGACCATATCACGCTACGATCCAAGGTGGACAGATGAAGAAAGACTTGGGATAGACTAGCAGAAGCAAGGAGAGACTCTCTCCAACGGTCCAGGACTGTTTTGTAAGAACGCCCACTGTCACTGGCATCTTAAACAAAAAGGTAAAGTGATTTAAGTTTCTAGGCAAACCTTAGATATCTCCTATTTTCTTGGTATTTTAAACAGGTTAGATTTTAAAATTCTTCTAAAACTCAATAAAAAGATTGTGTTGATATTAAAAACAAAACCTCATGTTCAAGAAAATATTTGCTGAGCCACACCTTGTTTGTGACATAAGGAATTACTTAAATCCATAAATCAAAAGCTTTGGGATTCCAATAGTTAAAAAGAGAAAAATAACTTAGGCAATATGTTCTCAAGCTAGTCTTTGTTATCAATTCTTGACCTGACTTAGAGAACTAGCTAAATATGATTACAAGTCAGTTATTATCCATTTGAATCAAGAATATTGCTTCCTCTTTTCAGATAAAAGGACTACTCTCTAAGTTAAACATCAATCATGTATGAGGTTTCTTTGGGGCTGATGAAAATTTTCTGAAATTAGATTATGGTGAATGGCTATACAACCATGAATATATTAAAACCCACTGAATTATACACTTTTTAAAAGGATGGATTTTATATATGTGAGTATCTCAACACAGCTATTACTGAAAATATCAATTATGTAGAAATGCCAACTCTATTGTCTTCTATCTCTAAGAAAATATTTTTTAAATGAGGTAAATAAAAAAATGCTAATACCCCACACTTCCCAAAAGAACGTTCAGCACCAATATTTACATAAGAACATTTAAAACTTTCTTTCATTAATAACATCATTCTTTTGTCTTCTGGACTAAAAAGCTTATTAAGAGTCATTTGATTAGATGGCATTAACTAGCCAGTCTATCATTTTACATTGGCATGTGATTTCTCTCTTCAATTAATCTTCAATTATTGCTACCACTTTAGTTTTCCCGACATTATGCTTAATTATGAAGGGACTACCAGACTACCACATAATGTCAAAATTCTACAAGGTATATAAGACTCCATATATAGTTTGTTTCTATTATGACATATTTCCTACTATTATCCTCAAAAAAAGTCCTCTTGGGCAGTAGCATAATGGTTAAGGAATGTAGGCTCTGGAGTCAGTCTGCCTTGAGGTAAGTACTAGCTCCCTTAGGTGAGTGAGCTGGGTCAAGTTACTTAACTCCTCTGTGCCTCAGGTTCCCCAACAGTTATATGTAGATAGCATCTACCTCTGAGGGCTGTTGGGAAGATTAAGTAAAGACAAGTAAAATGCCTGTCGTGGAGTAAATACTGTTACTGTTACCATTATTCCTGCCTTATACTGTCGCTCCTATGTGCAACAATTTAGAAGATACGAAACAAGTCTATTCTAGGTCCCTACATTTAAGAAATTTTTTATATAGCTGGGAGAGTGAAGATATACACAGAAATTGAAGTCATAAATGAGCAGACCTGCCAAACGCTAGTAAGTCTGAGCTCCTGTTTGTTGGGCAGGATGAGAGAGACAGGATATGAAATCCAGGGCTCACCCAATGTGTTGAATCCTTTCTGAAAAGCTAGAACTCCAAAAGGCTATACCCTCAAGCATCAGGGTGGAAAAGGGTACCATGAAGAAAGAAAGTAGCCAGGAAATCTGCTTTTCTGGACCTTGAAGTTGGGTGGAAAGGGAAAATAAATCTACCCTGAGAACATGTAACTACAAGCAATGCGTTAAATAGTTTAAAACCTGAAAACACCTAAGATTTTTTTTTAAAGATTTTTATTTATTTATTTATTTCAGAGACAGAATGAGAGAGAGACAGCATGAGAGGGGGGAGGGTCAGAGGGAGAAGCAGACTCTCTGCTGAGCAGGGAGCCTGACTCGGGGCTCGATCCCAGGACCCTGAGATCATGACCTGAGCTGAAGGCGGATGCTTAACCGACTGAGCCACCCAGGTGCCCCAATACCTAAGATTTTTAAAGTTGTCCAGATTGGTAGTGACCTCAGGTGAGTGACAGAAACAAGTACAAATCATTGCAAATTCTCTCTAAAGAAATTTCCATAGATCCAGTTGTGAGGAATGAAAGTTAATAGTCAAAACCCACAATGCACATGTGGAAACAAAACATTACAGGCAAGAGCCAGCAGAATCTGACCCATAAAGACCTGAGAGATTAGAGTTAGATGCAGAATATAAAATAACTATTTTAATATGTTTTAAGAAATAAATGTTTGAAAATGTAAGTAACCAAGCAGTTTGAAAAAGCATAAGAACCTCCAAAAATAATTGAGAGTAATAACTCAATGAGAGAAGGAAAAAATGAATGGGTCAAATGGTTCTTCAGGTAAAGCTAAAGAGAAATATTAGCAAAGTAGGAAATAAATGCAATAATAGAGTCCATTTCATTTATTTCCACTCTCTCATTTTGTGTTTTCTATTTACCATGGTTTTTTGATATAAAGCTTCATGAAAAGTTCTGGCTTGAGCAGGACCTCTAAGGAAGGAGGCAACAAAAATTGCTAGTTCAAAGATCTTGAAGAAATCTTTCTGGATAAATCAGAGGACATTCTTATTAGTAAAGGCAAGAAATAAGGCTGCATACAGGCCAATGTGGAAGAGTGGAAGGAAAAAACAAATTGCGCAGACAGAGCCTTTGGAACCTTGAAAGTCAGTGTGAATGATTTTTCTTAAAAGATTTTATTTATTTGAGAGAGAGAGAGTGAGAGAGAGCATGAGCGGGGAGAGGGTCAGAGGGAGAAGCAGACTCCCTGCTGAGCAGGGAGCCCGATGCAGGACTCGATCCTGGGACTCTGGGATCATGACCTGAGCCAAAGGCAGTCGCTCAATCAACTGAGCCACCCAGGCACCCAGTTTGAATGATTTTTAACTCAAAGGTTGGTGAAACATTATGGGTTTTGACCAAATCAACGGTAGCTCAAGGTCCAATTTTTATCCCACCTACTTTTTTTTTAAGATTTTATTTTTTATTTGCTAGAGAGAGAGAGAGAGAGCGTGCACGCACGCTCAAGAGAGTGAACAAGAGCACAAGCAGGGGGAGTGGCAGGCAGAGGGAGAAGCAGGCTCCCTGCTGAGCAAGGAGCCTGATGCGGGACTCCATCCTGGGACCCTGGGATCATGACCTGAGCCGAAGGCAGAGGCTTAACCGACTGAGCCACCCAGGCGTCCCTATCCCACCTACTTTTAAATGGATGTTCACATTTTCACATTTTTTTTAAAGATTTTATTTATTTATTTGACAGAGAGAGAAACAGCGAGAGAGGGAACACAAGCAAGGGGAGAGGGAGAAGCAGGCTTCCTGCAGAGCAGGGAGCCCGATGGAGGGCTCAATCCCAGGACCCTGGGATCATGACCTGAGCCGAAGGCAGACGCTTAACGACTGAGCCACCCAGGCGCCCCTCACATTTTTTATAGTACCTAAATAAGGATAAAAAACAGTGTATACTACTGATTCCATTTTTCTGTTAATTGTCTTGCTTCTTCTCCAGATTATAAAACTCTCAAAGGGCAGAAATGTCTTTTCTCTTTTATCTTCCATCATGCTAGCATAAATAAATTCCTCAAGAAATTAGAATTAGGATTTTACTAATATGAATTAATGGTAGTCATATGATCAAATGTTACACTGGGAGATTTCATATTGTTAACTGCCACTACATAGTAATGCATGTGACCACACTACGTAGGTTTTTCCTGGAGATAAAACAATACAGAAACTCCCACCCTATAACTCTCCCTATGCTAGTAAAAAAAAGAAAAAAAGAAAGTGGTAAATAAATACTATATGCAAAATAAGTAAACATACCTTCATCACTGTTCCTCTTTTTCACTAATAACTTAAGTATACTAAGATTCACAATGTCAACTTTTTATATACCAATTTTTAAAAGTTTCATTAGCTGAGGTGTGCAATGTAGAAGAAAAATGCTAGGAAGATGATATTGTTTTATAAGCTTGTCCCCAACCTCATTCCTTTCCAAAAAAATTAAGTTCAAGATTTTCTGTCAAAAGCTAAATATTCAAACCAGTACTCAGCAACACAGAAAGTAAAACCATAATTCTTCAAAAAGACAATATTCTTTAAAAAGTTAAAAATTTACCATCTCTCACACTAGATTGATCCTCCTCTCTCTTTTTCTTGTCCTTTTTTTTTCTATCTCCCCTTTGATCTTTATTAATTTCTGTGTTACCTAATTTCAAATTGATAAAGTTAGTTTAAGGATTTTTTTCATAGCTTAAGGGTTTAATCATGAGCATGACTTTATAAATGATGAAATTACCAACCTAAACAAACAATTCTCACATATACCTAAAATTATTCAAATATATCTTCCTCAAGTTAAAAAAAGCCTAGTTTTATTAATGTGATTAATTGCTAGAATAAAAGGGACATCCTAAGGAAGGTGGAATATAAGTAGAATTTTTATTTCTTACTTGCTTCCTCAAGAAACTGAAGTAATCTCTGAAGCTAAACTGGGAAAATTCCTACAGGTAATTGCTTTGTTAATTTGCTATGCTGAAAAATAATCAAAAGAATGGAGAATTTTAATATATATTCTATCTCAAACATTCATAAAACGGAATCCCATTTCTCTCCCAGATTAAGGATGTTCTTGATTACGTTCTTCTAACTATTTAGATTACCTTAAAACCGCAGAGGCACCTCTATTTCTTGTTGTCCCATTCAAAACAGATCCTCCAAAGGCTTAAACATAATATAAAAAGCTACAGACATCAATTATTCTATTAACTTTTTATGGGGCAACAATGGTAGATGATAATATCCATATTATAAATGATCAACATCTAAACTTTGATCAACATTTACCACCAAAGTAAATTGAACTTTTCTTATTTCACTTTTAAGACCTCAAATTGAAATTGTTCCTTTTATATCCCTTCGGATGAAACGAATGTTCCAACACTGCTGTATACAACCCAGCATAAAGAACACTATAGCTCTCAGCTCTCATATAACCTACTAGATGTAAGCTGTAACATCTCCCAGTGTTAACTTTTCCCTTTTGTTTCAATATTTAATAAGATGTACTGATGAAAATATGGACATACTAAACAATCTGATTTTTTTCCCTTGAATTTGTAAATAACTTTAACTGATGGCAGTTTCAGAAGTGGAAAAATCAGCAGAATTGCATTTTCTCTCTTTTGGAACCACAGAATTAATGAGTAGTAGTGAAATATTCATAAAGGCTACATAATTTACAAATAACTTTTAATTGAAATTTTAATTTTAGTAATTGTAGATTCACACGTGGTTGTAATAATAGAGAGGGATCCCTTGTATATGTAATTCGATTTAGAAAAGAAAATTTTTTTAAAAAGATTTTATGTATTTATCTGGGAGAGAGAGCGAGCGACAGGGATAGAGAGAGCACGAGTGGGGAGCAGAGGGAGAAGCAGGGAGCCTAACCCGGGGCTCGACCCCAGGACCCAGGGATCATGACCTGAGCCCAAGGCAGACAGACGCTTAACCGACTGAGCCACCCAGGCGCCCCAAGGCACAGAAAATATTAAGAAATATTGAAGACTGTGAAATAAGAGTGATATAGGAAATACAAACTAATATTTTTGTGAGCTATGACCATACATATTTATTTCTACAACTACTACTTTCTAATCTGAAAAGTGAGTCACTGAGCTCATGGTAGAATTATCAATTTATAAAAATATGAATAGGCTTATTAGAACAATGAGATACTGGCCATAAACTCTTCAATTTCAAAACAGACATTTTACAAATATATTCACATTCTGATAGCACCAGATATTTATGAAAACTTTGTTCTTACTACTCAAACAAGTGACATTCAAATAATTTAAAAAGGATTTTAGTCTATTCAAGTTGCTCTCAATAGGAGACCAAAAAGATAGGGTTTTATTTATTTTTTTATTTATTAAAGATTTTATTTCTTCATTTGACAGAGAGAGACACAGCAAGAGAGGGAACACAAGCAGGGGGAGTGAGAGGGAGAAGCAGGCTTCCTGCGGAGCAGGGAGCCCGATACGGGGTTCGTCGTGACCTGAGCCAAAGGCAGACGCTTAACGACTGAGCCACCCAGGCACCCCTATTTATTTATTTTTAAAGATTTTTTTTTTTTTATTTGAGAGGGAGAGAGAGCATGAGCAGGGGGAGGGGCAGAGGAAGAGGGAGAAGCAGACTCCCTGCCGAGTGGGGAGCCCAATGCAGGCTTGATCCCGGGACTCTGGGATCACGACCTGAACCGAAGGCAGACACTTAATGACTGAGCCACCCAGGTGCCCCAAGATATGGTTTTAAAAACTGTTTCTTCTGGCACCCTACTACTGAGATACAAACTAACTTGAATATGATAAATTATAAATTAATGTATCAGAGCACAGGGAAGTAGAGGCAGTTATGATATGAAAATTGATTTGGAACCTGAAACATATTTTCCTAAAGACAGTGATTATGTCCCTAGATTAGTCCCTAAAAACGTATTAACTTCATAAATTGCTAAAACACGATCCAGACAGTATTACTTCTATCATCCTACCATAAATTATAGAGCATTTCCTCATTTATGTACCCTTTAACACGTGGTATTTCTGACTTAGTGCTTCTTATACAGTGCTCAGGTTAGTGATCCAATTATTATTATTGTGAGCAGGGAGCCTGAAGTGGGGCTCAATCCCACGACCCTGAGATCATGACCTGAGCTGAAATAAAGTCAGCCGCTCAACCAATTGAGCCACCCAGGCGCCCCAGTGACACACATTATTAAACCATACTTCTAATGGTGGACATTTAAGTAGCTTCTTTGGGGTTCTGTTTTAGGTAACAAATATTTATATACAATTTTTGATTATGTAGGATCTGGCTAGTCACATGATTTGGTAATCTTTCTTTCGATGAAACACAAAAGAAAAGATTGACAGAAATAGTAAAAAAGACAGTCATTAAAGATGAGTATTTAGAGTAAAAAGTACTTAAGTACTATTTTAAAAAAATCTCACCTGAAAGAACCCATGTTTTGAAATGAAAATACAATCTCAAGTTTTTCAGATTTGCCAATTTCACTGTGTCAGCCCATATATTTCTACTAAAGGGCAATTTCAGAATCATTTAAAATATAACTAATATTTGGAAGTAAAAACCGGTACTTACCAAGTGGAGCTTTGAGAAAACGCCGCTCAATGCCCTGCTCTATCTGAAAAAGCGCCATTGCCAGATAATGAACCACATTGCTCACTGACTGGGGGGTACTTGCATTAGTTGAGACAGTACTTGGAGTTTCTGTTTTTATGCCCAAAAGTCTACAATGAAAACATGCAAGAGTTTATGGTACTTAAAAACTCGAGTCCATTCCTCCAAATGCTTACTTACACCTGTGTAAGAAACAGTTCCCTCAATCTCACAGGGGATCACATAAGCCGGTATGAAAGGGAGATAAATACATGAATCAGGAGCTAAACTAAATACCAAGTCATTTAAGGAGGTCAGAAGGGCAAATAGTTGGAGGGAAGGTGGATGAGACAAGGCTTAGGGGAAAGGTTTTAGGTAGATGACCCAGTGATGGGCCTTAATGATAAGTATCCCAGGCAGCTTACCTCGCTCTCTTTTTCTCTTGCTTCAACTTTTACTGGCTGGGACACTGATAGCTACCTCCTAAGTAGTTTCTTAGCCTCCAGTCTTATTCCCTTTGCAATAAATCTCCATATTGCAGGTAAAATGATCATTTAAACATACAAACCTATTCGCTCAAAGCCTTCAGTAGTACGTGTTCCCTCCCAGCATCCTATCTCCTTTCCTTCTAGATGAACTCCTTAAGGGAAGTTACCCCAAAATAACTCTGAAAGTCAAAGTATCTATCTATAGATATACAGATGTAGGTTCTGATTAATAATTCAAATAATATTTAAGCCTACCACAATTTACTAAGTTTTCCTACAGAAAAGAAAAATGGGTAGTATAAAGTTACTTTAAAACCTTAAGTTCAAAGACTTTTTTTTTTTTAACTTGAGAAATTATTATCCTAACTAGCTGTCTTTTGGCTGCACTAGCACAAAGTAGAGTAAAAGAGGGCTTGAGGTTGAGGAAAATGATCATTTCAGTGGTTACAAGTATTAAAAGTCCTCATGATAAGATTTTAAAACAGTTTTTTAAAGAAAAAGAAACATTTACTAAAAAAAACCATACAGTTGAAGTGGCAAGGAAAAGTGACAGTTACTTTAGAAAAATCCTTTTTGTACCTGTCTCTTACTATGACCTTTGCTTGCTCATCAATTTCCATCTCTTCTACATCTTCATTCACAGTCTTAATGATCCCATTTTCCTTGTGTTCCTCACTTAACAGCTCATACCGTCCACTCTCTAATGCTGATCTCCAGATGTGTCGATCTGTAACCTGTAATAAACATATGTTGTTCCTAAGAAGTATGAGATTCGACATACATATGAAAAATTCATGAATATTCTAGAACAGATTGTGAATCAAAAAGGGATCTAAAAATAAGGTTACTAAGTGGCCAAAATGAAATTCATATCATTCATAGATGGAAGCTTTAGTACCTGTCTATATAGGGAAATCATAAGCAATTCTAAGACTGGTCACCTGATAGTAGCAAAAAAGTGACAGATGATAGCAAAGGAATGAACAGAACACACATATCAAGCATGAATTACTTACAGATTTTAAAAAGGTAACAAAGAAACCAATAAACAAACCAGACTCAGCAGAGCAGGCAGGAGCTAGTCAAGGAAGAAGAAAATATCCTTACACATTTTAACATCTCAGATGAAAATACCATAAAACAGATATTTAAAAATTACTAAAAATTCGTATTAAAAAGGCCAATTATGTTCATTAAATTCTGTTTAAGAAAGCAGATAGCCATATAGTATATTTAAGAAAGATCTCTATCCATATATAAATATTTTGATACAGGGGAACAAACTTAGTTTTCATAAAAAATATATCACTCCCATGTATTTACTCAAAACACACATGCCTTGCCTATACCAAATAAATTAACAAATATGACCAAAACTTTGGTGATTAGGTAAACTAAAAATGGGAAGAGGTACAAACCTTAATTGCTCCTAATGTTCCTTGGTAGATTCTGTCTTCAATATCCAAAAGAAAATCTCTCAGCCTCAATTCAAGCTGTCTTTCTGCAGACATCTGAGCTGAATCACATGCAGTGGAAGATCTTCCCCGACTATATGTAGGTTTGCTATCAGTTTGAGGTTTGTCTGAAATAGTTATCAATACCTTTATTATGATTTTCTTACTAAAAAATATAATTTCCCCAATGTGATGGTATGATCGTGAGATAACTAATACAAAAACACTTAGTAAATCCTCAAATGCAAAAAACAAGGGGGTGGAAATGTTTGCACATCAGATATCTATAAGGACCTTGTGTCTAGAATATTTGAAGAACTCTTACAACTCAATAAAAAGACATTCCAATAAGAACAGTCAATGGATGGATATGAATAGACTTTTCTTTAAGACATATAAATGGCCAGTAAGACCATGAAAAGTTGCTCAACACTACTAGTCATTAGGGAAATTCACATCAAAACCACAATAAAGTGCCACTTCATACCTCTACAATGGCTAGGACCTAAAAGTCAGACAATAAGTGTTGCCAAGGATGTGGAAAAATTTTAACCCTCATACACTATTGGCAGGAATACAGAATGGTGCAGCTGCTTTGGAAAACAGTATGGCAGTTCCTCAAATGATTACACAGAATTATCACATGACCCAATAATTTCACTCTTATGTATACACCCAAGAGAAATGAAAACTTATGTTGAGACAAAAAACCTGTACGCAAATGTTTACAGCAGCATTATTTATAACTGCCAAAATATGGAAACAACAGAAACACCCATCAACTAACATATGGTTAAATAAAATGTGTTATATATCTATATAATGGAACATTATTTGGTTATAAAAAGGTATGAAGTACTGACATGTGCTACAACTTGGATGCACCTTGAAAACATTATGCTAAGTGAAAGCCAGTCACAAAAGACCATATAGTATATGATCACATTCATATAGAATGTTCAGACAAAGAAATTTACAGAGACAGAAAACAAATTTGGGTTTTTTTTTGAGGTGACAAAAATGTTCTAAAAATGACAGTGTGATGGCTGCACATCTATGAATATAATGAAAACCACTTAATTGTACACTTCAAATAAGTGAATTGTATGGTGTATGAACTAAATCTCAATAAAGCTGTTAAAGAATTGTGATCTACAGTTTTTAATTCTGAAGAGAACTAAAGTAGTCATGACAATATGCCGCTAAATTTAAGAGTTCTTTACCTAGAGAATCTTTAGTAATAATGAAAACTTATACCCCCAAATGCCTTACTGCTTTCTCTTAACCTGTTATCAATGAACTAGCCATCATATAGGAGATGCTGCTACCTGATCTGCCCTTGCAGCCGATCTCCAAAGAAGTGATCACTAAGGGAACCGGTCCCTGGACCCTAACCCTTAGTGACTGAACTCTCACTATCATGTCGAATGTCTAAAACTAACGTTAACCTTAGTGCCTTGGGTATTGAGTCTACTGATCGGGGAATGAGAGCCGGAAGAGTATGGATCTTCGCACACTGCCATTCCTCATAATCCAAATGGAACCCAGTGAAATCCTAGAGAGAACCTTGTTTCTCTAACTGGTAAACATTCTCTAACTTGCAAACTGAGAACACCGTCCAAATGAAAGAGAAGGTGTTTTAAATATAGCTCTAAAAGTTTGACAAATGTTTAAACCTGAACCAGAGATTATGAGGAGAGCAAAAGAAACAGTTTTCAATGAAAATTTACCTGAAAAATGAAATTTCTCTTCAGAAAAATGGGCTAGCTGTGCACATATTCTGCTCTTCTCTTGCAACAAAGTTTCTTTTAAGGCACTTTCTCTGTGTCCTCTAGAATTAAGAGCTTCGATCAGCTGGTCTAGCTGTTCACAAGAACTGTAAAAGCACCACCGATTTGGCTTATGCACTGGTTTTGGCAGCTGCAGGGAATCATCACATGGACCTTGGTCAATGTTGGAGGTAGATTCAGACGTCAAAGACTCTCCAGTTTTAGTGGATACCTGAGGATCTTGAGACTGTACACTATTCTGAAATGATGAAGGTCTAGGCAACAGCATGTCTTCAGTGAGACCGGAATAATCCTCTTCAATAAATAACCCAGGAATAGAAGGGAAAATCCAGTATCGCCTATACATGCGGTCTCGGCCCAAGGGAAAGATATTGGTACATGCTATGGCACTTTGGATTTTTTCCAAGAGCTCTTTCTCTTTCCGTTGATGTTCCTGTTTTAAAGCTTCTTCCTCATCAGCAGTAAGAGGCTCTCTTGTTACACAGTTGACCTCTTCTTGTCTTGTAAATTCTTTAAATCCATTTTGTCCCCTTTTCCCTATAGTTTAAACATTTGATCATCACCATCATATTTTAAATTTTCATCAGAAAAATATCTAAAAATATCCCAAGTTACTACGTCTTATGGACCAAACTGAAAGCCCCCAAAATTTATAGGTTTAAATCCTAAACCCCAGTGTGACATACTTGGAGACAGGGCCCTTAAGGAGGTAATTAAGGTTAAATGAGTTCAAAGAGTGGGACCCTAATGCAGGACCAGTGTCCCTTTAAGAAGAGAAAGAGACTAGGTGCTCACTCTCTTCACCTGTGGGCACAGAGGAAAGGTTGTGTGAGGACACAGCGAGAAGGTGCTACAGCAAGCTGAGGCCTCACCAGAAATCAACCCTGCTGGTACCTTGATCTTGGACTTCCAGCCTCCAGAACTGCGAGAAAATATATTTTTGTTGTTTAAGCCCCCCAGTCTGTGGTATTTTTTTATGGCAGCCTGAATAGACTAATACACTACGCGGGTAAGAAACCAGTACACTTAAATACGAGGGACACACAAAAAACTGCGATCTCCATACTGAAGAGTGAGGCAGAGTCTGTCCTTCTGCAACATATGTTCAGTCCGGAGGCAGGAGTCAGCAAACTAACTTTTATAAAGGGCTAGCTAGTAAATATTTTTAGGCTTTGTGGGCCATATGGTTTCTGTCACAGCTGCTCAACTGTGCCATTGTAGCATGAAAGCAGCCACGGACAATATGTAAATGAACAAGCATGGCTGGGTTCAATTAAAACTATGGTCAGTGAAATCTGAATTTCATATAATTTTCATATTACAAAATATCATTCTTTTCCCCCCAACTATTTAAAAATGTAAAAATGTAAAAACCAGTTTAACTGGATTATATAAAAACAGGCAGGGCAGATTTGGCCAATGGGTTGTAGTTTACTAACCACTGATTTAAGGTAACAGAACCCCTAATGCTTAGTTGGGTACCTAGCAATTCAAAAGAAGGACATTTCCCAGCAGGAAATGTTTCCCCAGGAGGTATGGCTACATGAGAAACTTCTGATCAAAGAGATGGGAGTAGAAGCATTATATGTAACCTCTGGGTTGTACCTCTTTCTATTTTCCTTCTTTCAACTAGCCAGAATGGAGCCATGGGGATAAATCATTTTGGAACATGAGGGTGGCAGCAAAACCCTAAGGATGGCAGTACAAACAAGACAGAGAGGGCCTGGATTCCTGGTGCCCTGCCTGGCCTTTTATGATGTGTTGAAGAATTAAACTTGTCCCGTTTCAAACACTTGTCAGATTGCTTAGATGGCTGAGGAGTTATTTCTTCTTTCTATTTCTTCTGCTTCAAAGGGTCTATAGAAGATTAGAATTATCTGCTGCTTTCAAATTTGGGAAAACTCACCTATAAAGTTGTCTAGAAGTGAAGTTTTCTTTGTAGGAAGTTTTTTTTTTTTTTTTGTTTAAATTCAGAGAGAGAGAGTGGATGGGGGGAGCAGAGCAGGGAAGGGGCAGAGGGAGAGGGAGAGAGAGAATCTTAAGCAGTCTCCACATCCAGCGCAGAGACCAACACAGGGCTCGATCTCACCACCCTGAGATCATGACCTGAGCCAAAACCAAGAGTTGGACACTTAGCGGACTGAGCCACCCAGGTGCCCTTGTAGAAAGATTTTTAACACTGATTCAAGATCTAATGGTTTAGGACCGTTCACATTTTAAATTTTCTAATAAATCCATTTTTATAATATGCATTTTTCTAGGATTTTATTTTTGCCTCCACTTTCAAAGTAATTGCCATAAAACTGTATATGCTATCCCCTTATCTTTAAATTTCTACTTTATCTGTAGTTATGTTGCTTTCCTTTTGAGCCTTAACCTTATTGTGACTCCCCTTCCCCTGCCCCCAAATCAATTTCAAGAAAGGTTTGTCTAGTTTGTATCTTTTTCAAAGAATAAAGTTTTGGCCTTGTCCTATTACTTTCTATTAATTTCCACTTGTATCTATTGTTTCCCTTTATCTGGAGGGATTATTCTGTTTTCTACCTCTAACTTCTTAAATGAATGACTAGCTCAATTTGCCTTTCTTCTTTCCTAATATGTATTAAAACTAGAAATTTTCCTCTAAGTTGAGGGACTGTATCCAACAAGTGTTAATGTATAGTATGATTAGTTTTTTTGTCAGTATAGTTTTAAATATTTTCTAGTTTCCATTTATGGTTTCTACTTTGACCTATTACTTAGAAGTGTGTCTTAAAACTCTAATCAAATGAGGCCTTTTGGTTTGGATTTCTAAATCAATTGCATTATAATCAGAAAATGTAGTCTCCAAAATACAGAAATACAGAAAACACAGATTTTCTGTCTACTTATAATAACTATTTAGCAAATAATATAGAAAAAAAAGATACCATCGAAATTATAGGCACAGAATAAAGTTGAAAATCTCCTTCAATAGTTGTCAAATGAAGATGTTTAAAGATCTTCAGAAGTAATTTGCATCAACAACTTTCAAAAAATATATTCCCTTTGATCCAGCAACTCATTATTCTAAGGTAGTTGATTTCCATTCTCAGCCATATGGTACCAATTATAAGCATTACTGACCTTTGTATTTCTAGCATCTAAAAGGCATTTAATTCATGTCGAGTATGCTGTAGAGTAAAAATTTCTATTTGGCCTAATATAAAATAGTAAATACAAAAACTCAACAAAACGCGCCAACCAAAAGTTGAAGTTATGAGAAACTGACCTATAAAAACAATATGAATATTATTGCTCCTCCCTCAAGTATAACTGACATGAGAATAAAGACTGAATGTAACTTCTAACAGCATTTTTTAACAAAATGGTTACCATTTAAAAAACTTATTGCAGCTACAAGTTAGGTATTTAAAAAACAAACACACCGGGTGCCTGGGTGGCTCAGTTGGTTGGGCGACTGCCTTCGGCTCAGGTCATGATCCTCGAGTCCCAGGATCGAGTCCCACATTGGGCTCCCTGCTCGGCGGGGAGTCTGCTTCTCCCTCTGACCTCCCCCCATGCTCTCTCTCTCTCTCACTCTCTCTCTCTCACAAAAATAAAATCTTAAAAAAAAAAACCACACCTTGGAATCACAAATGAAGTAACCTAATACATATTTCAAGATAGCTGAATTATAAAGTGCCTTATTAATTAAAAACAAGTAGTCATGCCCTTAAGAAATTTCTGTATTACCCCTTCTGCCTCTTTTATGTGATCCTGGGTCATCTTCATCTTCAGTGACTGTATCTTGATCAAGTTCCTTTTGCTCTATTTCTTTGCTCTCAGTGCTAGTATCAAAATCTTCTCTTTCTTCCTCCCTTAAGGAAAAAAACAAAGATTATTTTCATTAATGAATATATAATTCCATTCATGAGGTATTTATTGCCTGCCTATGAAGTGCTAGCCATTAAGTTTAGGAAGTAGTGGACAAGATGACAAGAGAGTTTATATTGTCACAGAGAAAACAGGTAATAACACAATTATAAAATTAAAGTATGTAATAACTATTAAAAAATGAGAAGTTCAAGTTGCTATGAAAGCATTTCAAGAAGAACCAAATCTAGTCTCAAGGATCAAGAAAACCTTGCTTGAAGGAGTGACATTTAAACTGTGAGACTAGGGAGACTGGGGAGGGGTAAGGTGGCAGGTGAGAAGAAATCTCCTTTCTAGCAGAGGGGGTAACATGTGCAAAGGCTCTGAGCTGAAGAGAAAAGGAAGGAGCTTATCATTTTGAGAAAAATATAAAACAAAAAGAAGTAATCCAAGATACGAATGAGAAAAAGGCAGGGTAAAGATCATACTGGGCTTTGTAGGGCATTATTCAAAAAGCAATGGGAAAAAAATGTTAAGAGTTTAGAAAAGGGAAATGATAGGATTAGAAAGCACTTTGGTTGCTATGTGGAAAATGATCTGGGTGAGAAAGTAGATGAGGGGAGACAAGAGGCCACTATAATAGTCCAGGTAGCTGGCTGGGAGGTGATGGTTGGCTCAGAGTAGAAAGTAAACAAATAGTTGAGGAGAGTAGGTGAATTTCGGATATAGTAAGTAGGCTGAATGAACACAAGATGGATGTTTTATCTAATTCATTATACTGTCCAAATTAACCTTGAAATAAGTTCCACCATTTATGTTCTTTATCCAAACAGAGGTTTGCAAACTCAAATGTGTTTAGGAGCCAGAGAGATAATTTAAATGAGTGAGGCTAGATGAGGATAAAAAAAAATATGAAATGGGAGAATCTATAATGTGCTTACTTTTCTTTTTTTCAAAATTAAGAGATCACAAGGAAAAAATCTGTAACTATAGGAGGTAATGAATACCAACTAAACTTACTGTAATTATTTCATAACATATGCATATATCAAATCATTATGTTGTACACCCTAAACAATTAATACAGTGTTAGAAGTCAATTATATTTCAATAGAACTGGAAAAGGTTTATAAAATGTGAAAAGAAAATTGAGCTATAACTCACATATCCTAAAATCACCATTTTAAAGTGTACAAATTCAGTGGTTTTTAGTATATTCACAAGGTTGTGCAGTCATTACCCCTATCTAATTCCAGAACAGTTTCATCATCCCAAAAGAAAAACCCCATAGCCATTAATAAGTCCCTTTCCATTTCCTTTTCCCCACTGCCCTGGTAACCACTTATCTACTTTTTGCTGTGGATTTGCCCATTCAGGACTTTTTATATAAATGGAATCATACAATACGTGGTCTTTTGTGACTGGCTTTTTTTACTCAGCATAATGTTTTCAAAGTTTATCCACATTGTAGCATGTTTCAGAATTCTATTTCTTTTTATTGCTGAACAACATTGTGTTGTATGGATATACCACCAAAAAATACATCGTTTTGTTTCTCCATTCATCAACTGATGGACATTTGGGTTATCTTTTTTTTTTTTTGGCTATTAAGAATAATGATGCTATGAACTTTTGTATATACATTTTTGGGTGAACATATGCTCTTAATTCTCTTCAGTATATACCTAGGAGGGGAACTGCTGGGTCACACGGTAACAAAGGGTTTAATTGTCTAAGAGACTGCCAAACTTATCCAAAGCAGCTGCACCATTTTACATCTCCACTTGCATGAGAGTTCCAGTTTCTCCAGATTCTCACCAATACTTCTTATTGTCCCTTAACCGGATTACAGCCATCCTAGCGAATGTGAATATCTCATTGTGATTTTGATGTGCATTTTCCTAATGACTAATGATGTTGAGTGTCTTTTCATGTGCTTCTTGTATATCTATTTTCTTTGGAGAAATGCCTATTAAAATCCTTTGCCCATTTTTTAATTGGGTTGTTCTTTTATTGTTGAGTTATATGAGTTCTTTATATATTCTGCATATTAAACTATTATTAGATACTAGACTTGCAAATATTTTTTCCCATTCACTGGGTTGTCTTTTTACTTTCTTGACAGTGTTCTTCAAAGCACAAAAGTTTTTCATTTTGAAGAATTCCAATTATCTATTTTTTTCTTTGATTGCTTATGCTTTAGGTATATTAACTTTACCAAGCTATCCAAATTCCATTTCTTAAAATATTGTTGAAGGCCATATAAAATAACAGCTGTTACAAGTTTGTGACCTATGGCCTTAAGACTAATAGGTATTTTTGTATGCAAGTATAACTAAAAGTCAATTACGAATTTCAAAATACTGAGATTTTTAGAACCTTCCTTTGCAGATTTCATAAAAAAATTATTTCTGCAAAATTTGAATATGGTTTGCCATCTACAGTATGCAAAAATTCCCACTTGTCTTCATAGCCAATTTTTATCCCAAATATTTTCAAATGCAACAGAGTACTTAAGTCACTGAATTACTTAAGGTGCTTCCATCTTCTCCCAATGCCATCTATTAAAACCTCCAATTTCATCCCTATTCCTCAAACTCAGAGGAGCTTTGTGAAACACAGTGTACAACTCTGATGGTGGTGGTGGTGGTGGTGGAGGGGGGAGATACCACTATTAATGCTAGAAATGTATTACTGGTTAAAAATAGCCTATTGAAAGGTTTTCTGGGCAATTATCATTTACAACATTAATTCCATGAGAAAATGAATTCTAGAGTCCCTGAAAGTATTTTTTAACATAACACATATATACTTGAGAACTGTATATATATAAATTTCATAGGCCCACTGGTATAATTATTATGTACCTATAAATAAAAAAAAACTAGAAAACTAGTTTTTAAAACTTTTGAAAAGCATTTTAGAGTTTAAGGTTCTAATTTTTATTCTTTACGTAAAGCCCAATGAGCACTGTAATTCAAACCATACCCAACAGATGTATCTGCAGCTGAATTTCTCTGCTCCTCTTCCTTCAGTTTCTCTTGTTTCTCTTTCATTTTTTGTTCTTGTTCCTTCAGTTTTTCTTCCTTCCTTTTACGAATTCTGAAAGTTAACATAAAATATTATAGTCTACCTGATGGAAGATACTTTAAACTTTTGGCATATTGCTTTAATCATAAAATTATGGAAAGTGCTCTAAATGTTACCACAAGTTATAATGTAGTAATTTATTCATAACCTTAGTTAAGCCATCAAACATCAGTGTGAGCCAATATCACATTACAGCCCAATGTGAAATATCGTGGTTTTTTTTTTTTTTAAGATTTTATTTATTTATTTGAGAGAGAGAGAATGAGAGATAGAGAGCACGAGAGAGAAGAGGGTCAGAGGGAGAAGCAGACTCCCTACTGAACAGGGAGCCTGATGTGGGACTCGATCCTGGGACTCTAGGATCATGACCTGAGCCGAAGACAGTCGCTTAACGAACTGAGCCACCCAGGCGCCCCGTGAAATATCGTTTTAAGATTTTTTTTTTTTTTTTTTGAGAGAGAGAGAATGAGAGATAGAGAGCATGAGAGGGAAGAGGGTCAGAGGGAGAAGCAGACTCCCCGCTGAGCAGGGAGCCCGATGTGGGGCTCGATCCCCAGACTCCAGGATCATGACCTGAGCCGAAGGCAGTCGCTTAACCAACTGAGCCACCCAGGCGCCCCGAAATATCGTTTTAGATGCAAAGAAATAAACAGCCTTCATTAGTACAACTGCCTATAATTATCTCTTACCTAGCAGCTGCTTCTTCCCTCTCTTTCCGATGTTGTTCTGCTTTTAACTCCCGGAACTCCTGCTTTGCCTGTCGTAATATATCAACGTAATCTTCAATGAAATCCCTAGTAGAAACTAGGGTCAGGAGTTTCCCACAGAGAGCATGAAGTATCTTCATTTTTTCTCCTGTCAAAAATTGGTAAATAACTTCTGTATCATCAATGACAAAAAGGAGTTGTTTGAAAAATCTTAGTTTGTGGCTCAACGTGAAAATGCTTACTAAAGAATAGGTAAAAGTCTCAAGATCAAACATGCCAATGGCATGTCTTCAGAAAGAAGCACCTCTGAATCCAAATTAACAGGTATGTGACATACAGGCATTTCAAATACAAGTAACTACCATATAGACCAGTTAAATAGACATGAAAAATTTTCTAATGACAAAGAATTTTTTTCAAGTTTTAATTTTTAGGCTCACTTAGGAAGTTCAAATAAAAACAATTATTACCATATGAATTAAAAAAATGGCAACAGGCAAATCACTACTCTGAAAATACTGCACAAAAACACTACTATAAATTATAAAAACTATGTGAATGTTGGAATGAAGACGCTCTACTTTTATTATATGTCCTCTTAAACAAGCATATTAAAATAAGCTCTACATATTTGTGCATTGTAATTTTTTATTTAAAAAAAGGAAGTGAAAAGTAACTTCATCTTAACTTTATATACCATTTCTCATACCTCAAACACTATTTAAGCAAATGTTAGAATTTAGCAGGTACAGCTTAGATTTCTGATACAATGACAAATAAGAAAGCTAGCTAATTCTCACTTATCCTTCAAAATTTAGTAGATTAACCACAAAATTTTAAAGTAATAGGAAATCCAAATGAAAAAGAAAAGAAAATCAGAAACAGAGCTAATATGAATAATAACAGTAGTCTCCATTTGGGTCACTATTTGTATTCCAACAATGTTTTTAAGGACGGTTCTCCTTCTCTTTTAAAACGGCTATCATCTAAAATTTCTCATCAGGACCTAGTTTTCTGGGCTCAAGAGATAGAAGAGGGGAGGAAGTGGGCAGGTTAACCAAATTCCAACTTGTAAAGTTTACCTGGTGTCAAATCATACACTGAAGTGCTTGCCAGTTTCTTCACTAGACTGGGATTGCTCAAACGAAGCTCCATACAGGCGTCATCTGTAGCGTCAAATCCTCCTCGCTTTTGGTATCTGTACTTTGCATTTGCTGATGTTACATCAGCACCTGAAGCTAAGATGTGCAGTCTGAGGATTTCAGAAAGAGTGCAGCTATCAAGATCCAAGCTTTTCAAACTGCAGCCTATAGTTGTTAAGAAATGAAATTGTCATTTAGAATACAAGCCATAAGTCCTCAGCAATGTAAAATGTACCTTTATAAAATTAAAAATAAAAAGCCAAACAAAACCAAAATAAAACCCACACATACCCTGGTGCAACTGCGGCCACGCAGCTGCCAGAGATGCAACTGCAGACAGTGCAGATTTTGTGGGGTCTGCATCTTCATCCAAAGCCTCTGTTAAATCTTTAAGGAAATAAATACTTTATTCTAGTGCAAATCAAAACTGGGATATTTGGGAATAACGCCCTTCTAAAATGACGAAAGAAACAGCAAACAGCTTAACATTCAGGAACCGCAAAAGAACCAACACTAGGTACAACAAGCATCATTCACATTCTGCCTAGTGTCCACCTCAAACTATGAATCCCAAGACATGTACTGCACACTCATATTTTCCTTAGTTAACACAGAAGACAATTTCCAAGTTACCAACAAGATGCACATACACATTCCCCCCGAAATGGTAAAATACACTTTTAAAAACAAATCTCACTCGATGTAACTTTAGAAAAGTCTACTTTGAAAATCAGAATCTATTTGAAGATCCCCAATCTTTTATAAATATTTAAGATTGAATCATAACAAAGTAGGGTTATAATCATCACAAAACCAGCACAGAAAAAGAACTAAAACAACTTAAAGATAGCTGTCTCTTAACCACTGATTTATCCTCTTCATTGAAAGTTCCTGTTTTTACTTTGAAAACTCTCCAATCTAAGAAACAACAGGAAGATTACCCTGCATTTTCTAAGTAAATTGCTTTCTAACTCTGAAAATCATACCTAGCTTACAAACAAGACTACAGAGTAAATCTACTGGCACAAATTGTATTTAAAGCATTAGTATACGTAATTATTCCTAATTATAACACATAGATGATAAAAAAAATTAAAGTGTCAACTATGAAAAAACTTTAAGCTTACAAAAAAACCTTTTGTTATATCATAGAATGGTAGGCATAACTTCAGACTGAGTCAGATAATATATATTCTAGTCTCAACACTGACAGCCCCCTAGTTCCTAGTTGTGCAGCCTTTAGACAAATCACTTAATTGGCTTCATTTTTCTTAAAGGAGTGAGTCTCGATCAGCAGTTTTTAAATTCTTCAGATATGTCTTGGGAGTCCAATACAAAAGAGATAAAACTTCCCTTTGTTCAGTGGGATATGGAGATGATAATCTTGCCCATTCATTTTTCCAATTCTCCTGCAGTGGCACCAAGGAATCCCTTTACAACTCAACAGTACTCCATGGATTAGAGCGGGAAAATCGCTAGGCGAAACTGGTTCTGTGGTTCCTTAACCTTCTACTATGTTTCCCTTCTGAAAGTTCACAAGCTGACAAAATGAACCTCAGAGAAAAGAACTACTGTCCTTTACTAAAAGGAAAAAGGCAGCTCTGGGATCATGTCTGATTACAATCATTGACAATTTCATAGCAGTTAAAGCATAAACACTACCACACAGAAGTTATCTGACTGAACATTGCATATATGCAGAAGTTATTCCTACCAGGCCCTGAATCCAGTCCAAATGCAAGACATTATATTCCTTCTTACCATGGAAATACTAGAGCTAAAACTTCCTCAATTTTCATTTTATATGGAAAACCACAGAAAATTAATAGGCACTCTAAAATTAACACCAGTCTTCATTACAGAACTGTAAAAGTGGACTGGCCCTTTTCCTTTGCACCAATCACCACATTCAACCTATTTTATCTGTAGTAATTTTTAACTTCCTAGGACAGTTACAAAGGCCTTAGGAAATGGACAACCAACAAAATGAGTTTACTTTTAATTGTTTAATTGTAAACTAGGCATGTTAAAATATGTATTTTATTTTTTTATAGATTTTATTCATTTATTTGACAGAGGGAGACACAGCAAGAGAGGGAACACAAGCAGGGGGAGCAGGAGAGGGAGAAGTAGGCTTCCCGCCAAGCAGGGAGCCCTATGTAGGGCTCGATCCCAGGACCCTGGGATCATGACCTGAGCTGAAGGCAGATGCCTAACGACTGAGCCACCCAGGCGCCCCAAAATATGTATTCTTTAACTCAATTATCTATCAAATGGCACTCTCAAGAAACTGTATTATTACTCTAGGATTTGCTTAGAGACAGTCACTTGGGTACATCATACCAAGAGAATACAGTTGACTCTTGAACAACACGTGTTTGAACTGTGTGGGACCACTTATAAGTAGATTTTTTTAAAAAAGATTTTTTGTATTTATTTATTTGAGAGAGACAGACTTAGAGAGCAAGCAGGGGGAGGGGCAGAGGGAGACTGAGAGAATCTCAACCCGACTCCATGCTCAGTGCGGAGCCCGATATGGGGCTTGATCTCTTGACCCTGAGATCATGACCTGAGCTGAAACCAAGAGTTGGAGGCTTAACTGACTGAGCCACCCAAGAGCCCCTATAAGTAGTTTTTTTTTTTTTTGTAAAAATACAGTACTGTAAATGTATTTTCTCTATAACATTTTCTTTTTTCTAGCTTACTTTATTGTAAGAATACAGCATATAATACATATAACGTACAAAATATGTGGTGTTTGACTGTTTATATTATCAGTAAGGCTGCCAGTCAACAGTAGGTTGCTAATAGTTAAGTTTTCGGGGAGTCAAAAGTTATACATGGATTTTTGGTTGGGGGTGGGGAGGGTTGGCATTCCTAACCCTTCAAGGGTCACCTGTACAGCTGAACTGTATGTTATGATTATCTGAAAGTTACATTTATCACAGTAACCTAGAATCTACAATTTCAACACTAAACAATGATACTTTAGCAAATACACAAAACTATGCTATGTAAGGATACTCTTCTTCCTATACTTATTAAGCTCATCATATAAGACTGAAGAGAGGAACTGAAATTTTTAATGTAAGATTTAAAAAATTCTTGGTCCAAATTTCCAAGATTTGATATAAAAGAAAGGAGGCCAAAGATTTTAGATCTTCTTGAAGATGGGTAATTTTATAGGCAATGTTAGGGAAACAAATACTCAAATTTTCAACATCTTTGCCATATTATGAGGTAATATAGCATAGCCAGTATGAGGCTCCAGAGCAGACTGCCTGAGTCTGTATCCCATCACTTTTTTTATTAGCCATGTCTCTTTGGGCAAGTTAATTAAACTCCTTAAGTCTAAGTTTTTTTCTAAGTAAAGGCAGAAAATAAGTATTAATAATCTACCAGTTTACTATACCTACCTATCTATGCCACAAGGATGATGTGATCATTAAATGAAATTATATATATATATAATGTCTTACATCACTTGCTTTCAGAAAGAACTGTGGGAAAGCTTTTTTGTTACAGAGATAGGCGAACATGGTAAAATAACCTGGGAGAATAGTCTAGGATCCTTACTGTAACTGAAATAATTATGTAAAATGTAGTCAATACAGGGGCATCTGGGTGGCTCAGTCATTAAGCATCTGCCTTAGGCTCAGGTCATGATCCTGGGATCAAGCCCCGCATTGGGCTCCCTGCTCAGCGGGAAGCCTGCTTCTCCCTCTCCCACATTCACCTGCTTGTGTTCCCGCTCTCGCTGTGTCTCTCTCTGTCAAATAAATAAATAAAATCTTAAAAAAAAATGTAGTCAATACAACAGGGAAGTGGAGAAGGGTGAAAAACTCCAAAGCATATTTTTTCCCCTTAACATTTAAATAAGTATCTTCAAAAGGAGCATTAAAACCTTTATTTAATGATCAATACTTATTCAGAGGTAGACCTTGTATTAGTATGTATAGATTAGTCCTTTACAGGAGTAGAGCTATAAAAATTACAGATCAATCATGAAAGGAAACTGCAATGGCAATACAAACACCAGTACACATATATTTTCTTTACACTAGTTGATTTTCCAACATAATTTCCTTGTCACCCCACTTTTTGTCAGGTCAGAATTTGGTTCATAACCCTGTGATGTTATTGGTCATTAAGACAGTCTAATGGCTAAAAGAATGAATATTTGCCATATTTTCTGTCTTGGATAATCCATCTTTAGTGCTGGTACTTGCTATCTCAGAAAATCTTTAGACTTTTATAAATGGTTTGCTCTTCCATCTTCCCTTTAGTAGAGTCTCATTTTATGGGCTAAGTCATCTGAGATGACAAAGGGACAATGCTGTTAAAATGACCTTGATAAGGGACCTATGGTGATTAGCACTCAAGAATATATTTTGTTTGAACTCAGACTGTAAAATATAAAGAAAACCAACATCAGATTCATACTTATCATTATCCTATTGCTTCAGGGACTAGGCATAAAAAAAATGAGCTCAAATTACCTAAGGTCAACAATACTATCTGAATGCAAGAATGTCACACTTTTTTGTATCAAGACTGCTAACAAAATGTCTCCCAAAAGTTATTTCTTATTGTGAATTTTTATGCAGTACACTGAAGTATTGTTTAATAAGGCTTCTGATCCTAAATCTCTTATGTGACAAAGTTCACGGAGAGTATAAATTCAGGAAGCCAAATCAATCTTTTACTACACATGCTTAACTATTCCTTTGATTAAGGTAAGTCCTAAACAAAACAGAGAACATACTCTGTTTTAAAAATAAAAAAGGGTTTCTCCAAGAATTATTCCTACGTTAATATGTACCACACACTGACTTTAGATATTTAAGTGCACAGAATTTAAACAGCAAAATTTCTAGTTCAAACTGTTGATGAAATAAAAAAATTAAATTTTACTTGATTCTGATCTATAAACTGTCACATCTCAAATGAAATCAACAAGAGTATTTTCAGTTTAAGTATTGGTAACAATTATTTAAGTATTTCCTTAGGTGGGGGCAAAAAAAAAATCAGTGCCATTTAGCAGACTCTCTTGGAATTAGATACTGGTCAATGACATCTGTAATGTTCCTAAATCATAGGAGAAATCTAAAGGAATAAAATGCAAGATAGATTTGGGGGGGGGAGAGCAGATACTTTAAAGGTCATCAGAAACAGTGCATTAAACCAAAATTTTTATAAAATAACTGATAATGTATTGTTCATATATGACTCAAGAACTGGGGGACTTGAAGAGCTATATTTTATAATTGTAAAAGTGAGGTTAATTTTAAGATAACCTTCAAAAATCAGTTCCAAAGCTACAAAGCTACTATCAATCAGCAATAACACTGAATTCTGACCTTTGGTGTCAGCATCCGTTATTTGCTCTTTGGCTACTTCCTCTTCTTCTTCAGCTATCGCCTGGAAGATGGCAGTCAGGAAGAAAAAAAGCAATTCACATAGTGGGCCTTCACTGTCATTTCCTACAAGAGCTTCCTCTAACACTTCTGTGAATAAAATGTTTAAAATGAATTTAAAGTTCTGTTCATGTACTGAAAAAACAACTCCATTGGAATAAACATTTTAATCAAACAACAGCCTGTGTAATTATTTTAAGTGTCCATTTATCAAAGTAGAGTATTATCCAAGGCAAAATCAAAAAACGATTTATAATGATTATAATAAAACACAATAAAATCATAAGCCAAAATCACTACATTCAAGAAAGTCAAATTAGCCTCAGCAGATCAATACCATATTTCCTTTTAAGTTTAAATTTCAGGTGTAATTAAGGCACATATTAAAAATTATCATTTTATTCTAATATGAATAACAACTCAAAGATTTGTTATTGTTGCCCCATTGTTCTCAAGAGCTATGTGGGGCATTAATGTTTACCGCGTAGGAGAGAGAATCATAAGTGTGAGGTATAATCTTAATATTGTATCCAAATCATAAATGTTATCTAATTTATCTTACCTAAACCAGCATAGTCTAGACCTTCTTGATCTGTAAGGCACAATGATTCATGCCTCACCCAGGTCCTTCACATTGAAGGAATGTGAAAGCCCTCCTGAAGAATACACTTTTATTAAAATAACAGTGACATTATAATTCTGTCTTTGAGGGTCTTTATTTTGATTTTAAGAAAATTATTTTGCTATTTGACAATTAAAAATCCAAAATGAGATCCAAAGCCCTTCTCAATTAATGTAGTTCTTATAATGTTTATACAAAGTAAAAGTATGGAGTCAATGCAGAATCACAAATTAGAGGTTGGCAATAACTTATCTCTAAATACAGCTGATGTCAATTCCTTCCTTTCCCACACTTACATAAACCATGACACCTTTGAGAAGAGGAATCTATTCCTTCACGCCCTTAAATTTACCTAGCAGGCGTGACCAAAGAAATATGACAGAAATAAGACTTGCCAGTTCCAAGCCTAGCCTTTAAGAAGGCTGGCAGTTTCTGTCCACCTCTTCTTGGAGCCCTTAGCCGCCACTAAGTAGCATAGGCTACCTTGATGGAGTGGGATGTCACATGGAGGAGCACTGAGGCACCAGGCATGTGTGTGAGGAAGCCATCTTGAACACCCAATCAGGTAAGTCTTCACATGACTCCAGTCCCAGCCACTTCCTGTAACCTCATGAGAGACTCCAAGAAAGGGCTGGACAGTTAGGTCCAGTGACTCTACAGAACTCTGAGAGATACTAATTTTTTGTTTTAAACCACTAATATGAGGGTGAACTATTAACACAGCAATAGCACTTGCCTAGGGTTACTCCCTCAGGAAACTCATCTTGAAGATCAAAAAGTTCCCCAAAAGCATTAAGAAACTCCAAAACCATCAGAGCATCACCAAAGATTTCAGGAGGTAGTCTAGTCTTCACTGGAGTTGGTTCTGGAAGTTCCTGAAAGATTAAACAATTTATATAACTATTTTAACCAAGTGCAGAAAATTGTAAAAGGTAGATATATACACTTTGCTGAATAAGATTTATTTCAGGCAGACTAGTGGTTCTCAACCCTGGATGTTTATCACAATCACCTTTGGAACTTTTAAAATTATAGATGTCTTGGCCTTATTCCAGCTTTACTAAATTATAGTCACTAGGGACTTTTTTCTTTATCAAACTAAGAACAACTTTGGGCTGATGTATACTACTGACTACATTTTCTAGTTAAGAGGGACTTTTAACCTAGATTCTGAGATCAAGGCATTAGCTGCGTCAATATTATCTTTTTTGCAGGATCTCCTTAGGATATGGAATAGAATTAATCCATCTGTTGAATTTACAAGTGGTTCCATACAAACTGAGATGAATGATAATACTGGATTATCAACGATCATACAAATGACCAATTATGTCTGCAGAATGAGAATCATTTTCAAAGTCTGTTATAAAATACTAACAGTGCCGCTTTGGAACTCTAACTATAGCATTTGCTTAATTGGCTAGTTCCTCTTAGTTAAATATGAAGCCACTATTAAAAAGAAAAATTTCTTTATTTTTTTTAATATCTCCACTTTATTTTTTTAATTTTTTTAAGATTTTATTTATTTATTTGAGAGAGAGACACAGCGAGAGAGGGAACACAAGCAGGGGGACTGGGAGAGGGAGAAGCAGGCCCCCCGCCGAGCAGGGAGCCCGATGCGGGGCTCGATCCCAGGACCCTGGGACCATGACCTGAGCCGAAGGCAGACGCCTAACGACTGAGCCACCCAGGCGCCCCTAAAAAGAAAAATTTCATCAGCAAAGCCACATAGGGCACATAGAGCATAGGTGTGAAACATCACGTAACATACTTATACCTTAAGATCGTCACATTCCATATCTTCTCTAGGTTTACTCCACTGTTTTAAGTATTCCATATATTTTCGCTTTTCTTCACGTAATTTTTCTCTTTCCTAAAACAAAAGGTTAATAAAATTTTTTATAAGAATTTTATAAGGCAACATCAGCATCACCTGGGAACTTGTAAGAATTACAAATATTTGGGCCCTAACCTGGACCTACTGAACAAGGAACTCTCAGGTTGAGATCCAGCAGTTGATGTTTTAATAAGTCTTTCTGGTGATTCTGATGCATGCTAAAGTATTAGAATCACTGATCAAAACAATGCTTGCCTAACACTACTGCTACAAAGATGGAAAATGTCTCATACGTAACAGCCCATGGATAAATATTAATTCAATTTAACCCTGCCTATAGGGGCTTTCCTATTTCAAATCAATTAAATCTTGACAAAGTAAAGTAACAAATTATTAGAGTACCTAAAATAAAACCTCCCCCTATATTTGTCATATAGTTGTTATTTTCAAGATTCATTTAAACCTAACAACCTAGGGACAGAGGGACCAGTAAGTAAAAGAAATATCAGAACACAGTTGGTGGATTTCTTTTTCTTTCAATCCAGGCCACTTCTCTTGCTCACTTGGTCTTTTGATACACTTACTTCTTGGTTCTTATATTTGACACTGGAAGATAAATAATGACCCTAAAAAGTCTCCAATAAAGCAGAGTGTAAATAAAATATTTTATATTTAATATAGTTTATAATTATTTTCCAATAAATGTTTAACATACGTTAATGTTATACTCTTCCTTTGAAATTTAGGACCACTGGTGGTAACAGATGGGCACTTATCAAATTTTCAACATAAAACGATAGTTACAGAACTTATTAATTGTGCTTTAACAGTCTGCTATAGTAAGTCTTCCCTCCCTGCCCCAAATAATTCTTGTAGCATGTAATAAGATGGGTATTCTCTTTCACTCTTGCTAAGAGTGTAAATAAGCACATGTTTAGCAAACATATACTTATGTATGTGTAAAGAAAGTTTTTTTAAAAATGTTCCCAGCCTTTGACCTATTATTCTACTTCCCATAAATTTATCCAGGGACATAATCCAAAACCAGTAAAGACTTTTATTCATAAATTTGAACAGGATATCATTATTTATGAGCAAAAAATTATAAAGCAATTACCTGTATCTATTTGATTAACTATTATGGAGTCACTAAAACTCCGACTTTACTTATTACTTAATAACATGAAGGACTATTTCAATAATGTTAAACAAAACAAAAAAAATTACAAAATTATGAATGCTACATCTCTTTTTTAAGGCCCAGAATAAAGATTAGAAATAAATTAGGGGCGCCTGGGTGGCACAGTTGGTTAAGCATCTGACTCTTGGTTTTGGCTCAGGTCATGATCTCAGCATCCTCAGAATGAGTCCCTAGCTGGGCTCCACACTCAGCAGGGAGTCTGCTTGAGATTCTCTCTCTCCCTCAAATAAATAAATAAAATCTTTTAAAAAAAACGCTATCTCTAAATGTTATCACATTTAGATTACACGTGGTTTTCTTGTCCTCTACATTTTCTGGAGCGTACATGTATTAGATACCTCCACCCCCATCCCAATGGCCTATCTGAAATAGTTCAAGAAACTATAGGCAATTTAAATGAGCACAGGGTGTAACAGGATTAGCTAGGGCTACTTGTGAATAGCCCAGAAAACCAATGACACTTACTGACTCTGGAGAAAGCCAGCTACAGAATTCTCTAAAGAATATCTACCACTAAAGATTATAATAAAAGATTTGCTGAAAAATCTATTTTTACAGATACTCTATTCTTCAAGGAGAATAAGAACACCAATAATTCTTGGGGCGCCTGGGTGGCTCAGTCGTTAAGCGCCTGCCTTTCGCTCAGGTCATGATCCTGGGGTCCTGGGATCGAGCCCCGTGTTGGGCTCCCTGCTCAGCAGGGAGCCTGCTTCTCCCTCTCCCACTCTCCCTGCTTGTGTTCCCTCTCTTGCTGTGTCTCTCTCTGTCAAATAAAGAAATCTTAAAAAAAAAAAAGAACACTAATGATTCTTGCTATTTGTAGATTTTACTGTATTTTTCTAATTATATATTTTACTTCTGTGAGTTTTATGCATATCATCTTCCCTAAATTTGCAAGTCTAAATAATGAAGAAAATCAACTTCAGAACTGATGAGCACTGGGTGTTATATGCAACTAATGAATTTTTGAACACTACATCAAAAACTAATGATATACTGGGGCGCCTGGGTGGCTCAGTCATTAACTATCTGCCTTCGGCTCAGGTCATGATCCCAGGGTCCTGGGATCGAGCCCCACATCGGGCTCCCTGCTCCACGGGAAGCCTGCTTCTCCCTCTCCCACTCCCCCTGCTTGTGTTTCCTCTCTCGCTGTGTCTCTTTCTGTCAAATAAATAAATAAAATTAAAAAAACAAAAAACCAAACTAATGATATACTATATGTTGGCTAATGGAACAGAATAAAAAAAACAAATTGTATTTAAGAGGCTTTGGGGTGTAAAGGCATGTATATATATGCTGAACCTTAAATTACTCATTAAATTTTCCAAAGCAAAAGAGAGAGAAACCAATAACTGTTTATCAGTGCTCTATACAACTAGAAATGTCAAAGTGTAAAGCATTTGAAAATTAACCATGAATTTATTTTTTTTCCCCAAAGATATCATTTATTTGCTCATCAGAGAGAGAGAGAGAGAGAAAGAGAAAGAGCACAAGCAGGGGGGGCAGCAGGCAGAGGGAGAAGCAGGCTCCCTACTGGGTAGGGAGCCAGACGAGGGACTCCATCCCTGAATCCTGGGATCATGACCCGAGCTGAAGGCAGACACTTAACTGACTGAGCCACCAGATGTCCCCCATGAATTTAAATATGTAAATCATACTATTTTTTTATATAGAGAGCATAGCTAATATACTTGAATGAATACCTTTTCCCTTTCTATTTTAAGTCTCTCTTTTTCCTCTTTTTTCTTCAGTCTCTCTTCTTCAACAATTTTCTTCAATTCTTCCTTCTTTTTCTCTTTATCTTCCTTTTCTTTTTTCTTTGCTTCTAGGGCATCTGCTTTTTCTCTTTTTAATTTAGCCTTTTCAAAAGCTGTGGAGAAGATCAAACTTAGAACTGTTCACAGACAGAAAACAACACATTTTTTAATGTAAAAAAAGAATCCCTAAAATATTTTATGGTTAAATATGATCGGTAGAGACTCACAGGGGTTGTAAATTGCTGGAGGAAGCCAGCAGGTGATTAAAATGGGAAAGCAAGTTGGCTGGGTTTAAGACAAACTACTGCACTGGGACAAACATATACTTGCCTTTCAAAGCCCTGCTACTCAAAGTGTGGTCCTAAGACCAGTAGCAAAGTATCATTTTGTTAGAAATGCAGAATCTCTTCTCCCACACAGACCTACTAATTTAGAATCTTCGTAAGATTCCCAAGTGATTCATATATATAGTCAAATCTGGAAAGCAATGTTTTATAAAGCTGTGTGAATCAAACAAATGGCCCCAAACAGTCTGTAAGCCATAGAAACTCCAATTTATGCTTAATCTAGCATTAGGCTGGTTTAATAGGAGATATGTTACACCTTCAAATACTGTTTTAAGAGATGAACACAGGTCTCATTTATCATAAAAATCTACAGATACCTGAGGGGAGAAAATTATTTATGCTTAAAAAGAAAAACCCAAATAAAAGAAATATGTCATTTCAGAAACACTCCCTAACAAGCACAGAGAAATATTCTTTCCTGTACGTAAACAGTTTTTGGAGAGAATGTTAAACTCACCCAGTGACTTCATTTCTTCTTGTTTCAAAAGTTTGTCTCTTTCTTTAATAGCTTTGTTCCTATAACCTGCAATAGTCTGTTTATTAGCAACGCTGTCCTCCTAAAAAACAAGCCAAGAAACTAAAGTTGTAGAACACCACAACTTTTACAAACTGATGGTCTGCCTTGTTCTTACAGTAATAAAAATTTTAAAACCCATCAAGAATACTTCCTTTATACAATAAGGTTTTATTCTAAGCATAATTGAACTTTTAATAACTTTAATCATAGTAACATAGAGAATATGAGTTAGTTCTATAGCTCTACAAATTAGTTCAAAAACCTTCTAGGAAAAACTACCAGTGATCTACAAGGAGAGCCTTAGAAATATGCATTAGAAAAACAAAAAAAATTTTCCAAGGTACCTTATAAACTAAATGGTGTAGACATCAAATATGAAAGAGGTGCATGTCAAAAGCATTCTTATGGTCAATGTTAAATAATGCCAAACGATTTTTTTACTCTATTTCTTGGGAGAATAATGGTCTGTAATAACCTGCTTAGTATATTTTTATTATCTTTTATCTTTTAAATGCTCTTCACATTTCAATCCCATAATTTATCCTTTGTATTTCTCCTGCTTTACATTTCAGTAACTGCTTATATGCTTGCTTCCACTTTGGTATAAAATCCCTGTGGCATTAAAGCTATGTCTAATTCACACTTGAAACTCCTACAAGCCTCACTGCTAAGTAGTTATCAACATACAGCACACACATTGTATACACAGGAATGTATTCCTTCCTAAGGCTATGTGCACAAGGGGAGCCAAACACTGCTCTTGATTTTGAACAATTTTATTAAGAGCTACAATGCAGTTTTTATCCATTCTCTACTTACCTGACTAATAGATACTCGTTTGGGAGGTCTCCCTCTTCTTCTGTTAGTAGGACTAAAGATAAATGTGGGCGGATCATCAGGGAAGAAATAAGAAAAATCTTGTTCTGCTATTTTATATGTTGAAAGAGATGATGCCTTCATAAAAAAAAAAAAGACATAAGGTACAGTAATAACAACATTAGGAAACCACATATAGATGTGCTCTAAAATGTCATAGGACTGCTGTTAAAGACAAGGTCAAAAACATTAGAATTTCATGTGTTAATAAACAGTAACACACATTTAAAAATTTTCTCTCCCTTATGGTTTTTATTTTATTTTTTATTTTTTTTAAAGATTTTATTTATTTATTTATGAGAGAGAGAGAGAGAGAACAAGTAGGGGGAGCAGCAGGGAGAAGGAGAAGGAGATGCAGGCTCCCCACTGAGCAAGGAGGCCCATGTGGGACTTGACACCAGGACTCTGGGATCATGATCTGAGCTGAAGGCAGCCGCTTAACCAACTGAGCCATCCAGATGTTCCTGTTTGTTTTTAGTTTTCGGGATAAAATATACTGATTCATCAGTTGCAGATAACACCCAGTGCTCACTACATCAAGTGCCCTCTGTCATTCCCAACACCCAAGTACCCCATCCCCCACTCCTCTCCCCTCCAGCAACCCTCAGTTTGTTTCCAAGAGTTAAGAATCTCTTATGATTGGGGTGCCTGGGTGGCTCAGCTGTTAGGCATCTGCCTTTAGCTCAGGTCATGAGCTTCCCTTCCCCTATGTTCATCTGTTTTCTTTCTTAAATTCCACATACGAGTGAAATCATTTGTCTTTCTCTAACTTATTTCACTTAGCATAATACCCTCTAGTTCCATCCACATCATTGCAAATGGCAAGATTTCATTCTTTTTTGATGGCTAAGTAATATTCCAGTGTGTGTGTGTGTGTGTGTGTGTGTGTATGCATACACACACCAATATTCTTTATCCAGTGATACACATTTTAGCTGGTTTACTTGATCTATTATTAATCAGCTTTACCAGAAAGATAAAAAACCACAATTCAGAGGACTGTCCCCCCATAAAATATGCAAGAATGCTTCAACAGTTTCTTAAATTATAAAACTATTTCAAAATTATGTTTATATGATAATCGTCTTTGGTTTGCATTGCTTTTGACTAATTTTGTATGGAATTTTCTATGTAAATAATCCATATATTTAACCTTACAAGTCCACTGTATTAACTCAATAAATTTTTCTTAACCATTTCCTAACTGCTGAATATTTAGATTTTCCCTGCAATTGGGGGTGATAAAGACTTTTTTTTTTAAAGATTTATCTATTTATTTGAGACAGTGAGAATGAGAGAGAGAGAGAGTACACGAGAGGGGGGAGGGTCAGAGGGAGAAGCAGGCTCCTCGCCGAGCAGGGAGCCCGATGTGGGACTCGATCCCAGGACTCCGGGATTATGACCTGAGCCGAAGGCAGTCGCTTAACCAACTGAGCCACTCAGGCGCCCCAAGACTTTTTTAACTTAAAGACTTTATGTATCAAATTTTAAAGTTGATCTGGCAAAAAGGAGAGATGCTGATAAATTCTTATCAAATTTCAACTCAGAATTTAAGTTCAGCAAAGTCAACTTCAGTTTTACCAGAAGTTGTGTGGTTTTAGGATAATTGCTAAATCCAAAAGAGTTTCAAAACTTGTTCACCTTTCATCCATGTCCAACTCTAAACTTTTTATTTTTGGCTAGCAATTCTGAAGATTATTTTTGGTCTAATAGCCAAGATCATCATTCTTTTTAAGAAAACATGCCATTTACAGAAGTATCTTTCAGAAAATATACAAGAAAATAATGATACAAAAATTTAAATCATTAAACAAAAACACTTCAATTAGGAATTAAATTTTCTGTGTGATAATTGTAATCATGGTAGAACCTAACTTTTAACATTTAAAACTCAATCAGTTCTGGCCATCATAATAAATCAAGAATCTATTAAGATTTTATATTAAAGTCTATTAAGATGGTTGTCAACTATCCTATATAAATAACGCCTGGATATATAGAATTGCCCTTTAAATATGAATATAAAGCATATGGGTGGTTTCTTCTCAAATATATATGCTCAAAAAAGGTCAAAATAGATTTTAATACATCAATTGCCAATGTTCCTTATTCATACACACATAACACAATAAACAAATACATCTTTGTGTTCTTGTAGTACTCCTAATAGCAGACCACACTCACCACATTGGGTATTAAACTTTATTGTTTTTGGGTTTGTGTGCAAGTACACTAGACTATCCACTAATAATTTTTTTTATACTCTATGAGAAAAATGTTTACTATCACTTTAATATTTATTTATTATTTTCTAAAGATTTTATTTATTTATTTGTCAGAAATAGAGAGAGAGATTGAGAGAGAGCACAAGCAGGGGGAGCGGCAGGCAGAGGGAGAAGCAGGCTCCCCGCTGAGCAGAGAGCCCTGCGTGGGACTCAATTCCAGGATCCTTGGGATCATGCCCTGAGCCAAAGGCAGATGCTTAACTGACTGAGCCACCCAGGTGTCCCAATTTTCACTTATTTATTAAGTAAAGTTTAATTTCTGTTTGTGTTTACTGTTTATTTTCCTTCATGAAAACCTGCTGATACTTTTTACCATTTTTTCCCAATTGTTGTTTTTGTTCATTGATATGTAAGAAACTTCTGTAAATTAGGGAAACTGGTCAACTTGCTATTTATGATACACGTACTAGAACTCATTTCATATACTGACTGATTGCCTACCAGGGCCAGCACTGTTCTAGCCACTTCTCACAGTATTTGAATCCTTTACTTTTTGTAAGCATCTTTTTACCTGGGTATCTGTGATTTTCAGTGCTGTAGATTGAGCACAATTTAAGCTTTTTCCTCTTATCAAGACAAATACATAAATATGCTCACATTAACAAAATTATTTCAGATGATTCTATCTTATGTTTTCAATTTTTTGTATTTCGTCCATTGTGAATTTGATCATGCCTATTTGTCTATTTTTCTACTAGGATATTTATGTTTTTCTAATTGATTTGAGCTCCTCATTGTATTCACTGAAAGTATTTTTCCTTTAGCACTTGCCCTTGAAATCTATTCATGACATTTTCATTTTTATTTCTTTTTGAAGATTTATTTATCAGAGAGAACACATGCGTGCACGTGCAACGGGGGGGGGGGGGGGGGAGGGGCGCAGAATCTTCAAGTAGTCTCACTACTCTGAGATCATGACCCAAGCTGAAATCAAGAGTCAGATATTTAACTGGCTGAGCCACCCAGGCGCCCACCCAGGTCCCCTTTAACCTACATTAAGTTTATATTGTCAGATAAGTCTTATCCTTGGTATTTTTCTCTTGCTCCTTCTAAGTACTTTAGGATGCCTAACATTAAGAATTACTTCATTTCATTTCCTTTTTTCCCCCTTCGAGTTGGTTCTAACTTTGTTTTTCCAAAGTTAACCACGTGTCCCAGTTTTATTTGTTAAATAATCTATCTTGGTCTCTAGAGACTTGAAATGGTACTTTTCACATAAACTCGTATCTTTTTTTTTTTCTTTTCTTTTGATGTAACACAAATCTTTCTTTTGATGAAATACACAAATCTTAAGCATATAGCTGATTTCTGACACATGCATACATCTCTCTACCCATTCTACTCCTTTTTTACTTAGTATTTCTCCCAATATGAGTTAAATATTTCTGTTAAAAAAAATTAGTCTTGGGGCACCTGGGTGGCTCAGTCGTTAAGCGTCCGCCTTTGGCTCAGGTCATGATCCCAGGGTCCTGGGATCGAGCCCCACATCGGGCTCCCTGCTCAGCAGGAAGCCTGCTTCTCCCTCTCCCACTCCCCCTGCTTATGTTCCCTCTCTTGCTGTCACCCTCTCTGTGTCAAATAAGTAAAATCTTTAAAAAAAATTAGTCTTAGTTTTTTTTTAACTTTTTATTTATTTTACAATGTGAGGTTTCTAAACTTCATTTTTTCCCCCTCTTAATGATTATGAATAAAATATAATCCATCTGCTTGGTATTGGTCTCTGATGTTCTTTTTACTATATGAATTGTTTTCCTAACTAGTAGGATCTATTTTAGCATTGTTCTTTGAATTTATTTTTGTGAGCCAGGACCCCACTTAGAAAAATACAGATGTTCCCTTCCCCTGTAACATTTTCTTTTTCCAAGTTTTCCATCTCTTCTTACATGTCTTGGTTGATCTTTACAAGGGGAAAAAAAATGCAGTACCTGAGCCATCTAGCAATTCTAGCAATTGCAAAAATAGTTTTAATTCAATAAATAGAAAGAAGATTACTAAAAACTGGCTCCAGATAAAAAGAGAACTATTTTCAACCAACTTTGAAATAACATTTCTGCAATATTTCAAGTTTATAACACAACCTATCTCTTTTTTTCTTCCTTCCAATAAATAATTTCACTGTTCTGATTACCTTAATTTTAATGACTCCATCTTGTGGTTCACAGTGTTGCTTCAGAAAAAGCTTTAATTTATCACGAGAAAATAAGTGTTTTCTCCGACTGCCAGGGGAAAAAGGAGGAGAAAGAGTAAAGTGTTAGTATCAAAAAATTCAATTTGAACTCTATACTCTCCGAAAATCAATAACCTCAATTTCAAGCTTAGGAAAAGAAAGATATTTCCTTTTCCAATAGTATTTATGTATAAGTTATGAGAAACTTTATACATAAGTATTTATGTGGAATGTTATAAGATCAACTTAAATGGATTTATTATAAATGTCCATTACAAACATAGTATACGCATTTTTTGCATAAGAATCACTTAGAAATCAAATAAACCTCAAGGAAAATATACTACAGAGTAAACCTAATTTTAAAAAATTAGATGGTCATTCCTAGAAATATCACCAATGAAATTCTTTAAAAAATTAAAATCAGCAGGCTACAAGATATCACATAACACTAAGTCAATATTCAAATGGATAATGTGAACGTTCTTGAACATAGGCTGTTTCAATTTCTAAAATATTTTGTATTTAAACTTCGTATGGCAATCAACAAATTCATGGGATTAAAATGAAAGAGAATTAGAATTAAGATTCCAAAAATATGCTGTTTTTGATTCTTCCTTGCCCCCAAATTCAAAAACCACCACCACAATGGTAACAAACACAACCAAAAACAAATCAAAACAAACAAAAAAAATACCCCTAAACACCCAAGTATTTCTGGAAAAGTTCTGGAAAGAAAGTAAATGTTTTAATTGAATTCTATGTATTCCTTCCAAGAAAAGCCAAGTTAAAGACTTCTAAGAGTGCATAAACAATAAAGGAGTTTTAAAGTAGTAGCCTCCTCAAAAATGTATATTCTTTTCTTAGAGAAAGGACCATAATGAGAGAAAGGATTGGCTTACTGTGCTATCCCACCACCATACATAGAGTAGATGACAATAAGGTTAATTATTTCTTGACTATTGAATAAATATACTAGTCCTCAAGAATTGTATTGTCCTACATAGCACCCACTAGCCTACTTATAAAAAAAAGTTAAAAAAAAGTGTGAATAATCTATGAGCATTATTTTGGGAATACTATTTTTCAGCATATAATAAAATGCAATACACTCCAGAGTTCTTAATGATGGACCCCCAAGATCCAACCAAACAAAAAACTACACATACCTCCTCATAGTTATAGAAAGTAATATATTTGACTCAGGATTCACTCAACACTTATGTTATTACCACTTTTCTTTAGACTCATCAGTATATATGAGGCAAGAGGTACACGAGAATAAGTAAAATCATTTTATTTTATTTTTTAAAAATTTTATTATTTATTTATTTGAGAGAGAGAGAGAGCACAAGCAGGAAAAGCCACAGGCAGAGGGAGAGGCAGAAGCTTAGCAGGGAGCCTGATGGGGAGCTCAATCCCAGGACCCTGGGATCATGACCTGAGCTGAAGTCAGACGCTTAGCTGATTGAGCCACCCAGGCACCCTAAGTAAAAGCATTTTACATCAAATGAAATGCAAGATTGACTACTGGGTGGTAAGTTGATAGTTGGCTGATTACGTCAATTTACTTTCAGGTGACTAAGGGCCTAACCTCAGCAGGCAACAAAAGGGATTGTCCTAAAATAGATCTGTGTAACCTAAAGTTAATTCCTTTAAATATTAACCACTCATCACCCCTCTTTTGATTAGGACTTAAACAGGAATTTATTTTTTTATTTACTTAATTTTTTTTTAAAGATTTTATTTATTTACTTAGAGCATATGCGCGAGCAAGGGAGGGGCAGAGGGAGAGAGAAAGAATCCCAAGCCGACTCCATGCTGAGCACAGAGCCCAACTTGGGGCTCAATCTCTCGACCCTGAGATCATGACCTGAACTGAAATCAAGAATCAGACGCTTAACTGACTGCACCACCCAAGCACCTTCAAACAGGAGTTTTTAAAGATACTAATTTGTTATTATTTAACTTTAAGGAATGGAAGAGACTGATCAGATGTCTGTGTCCAGTGAATAAAATACTACAAATGTGATGTATTTGTAAGTACCATCAGACTTCTCAGCATTGGAAACTGAGTTCTCTCATGAGAAGTGCCTCATAAATAGGATCCTTTTTAATTTTTTAGACTGAAGACTCTTTGGGATTACTTACAAAAGGCTCATGGAGTCCATTAGGATTCACTTAATCAGTCTATAAGTGTACATTTATTTTAAAAAGGGAAGCAATCACTTGCAACACTGTTCTATAGCAAATCTTAACTGAATGCAATTATTCTATTTGAAACCAGCATAGATGAGATAACCAAGTTTTACCTGATTTGTGTTGCTTTAACAATAGCACACTCATACAATTCTTTTTTAGTGGGTTGCACCTTGTACTTGAATAATAAGGGATCGACTGCATCTTTTTTCTTCCTAAAAAAGAGCAAAGATACAAATCAATAATTTGTTTGAAAATGTGAGATTTTATTTTATTTTTTTAACATTTTATTTATTTATTTGACAGAGACAGCAAGAGCAGGAACACAAGCAGGGGGAGTGGGAGAGCGAGAAGCAGTCTTCCCACTGAGCAGGGAGCCAATGGCGGGGCTTGATCCCAGGACCTTGGGATCATGACCTGAGCCAAAGGCAGACGCTTAACAACTGAGCCACCCAGGCTCCCCTGAAAATGTGAGATTTTTAAACAGAAATATAGTTTCTAAGAACACACTGTAACAGAATCTAATGCATTTTTAGTTTAGGATTTTATAAGTTACTGACATCCCTCACTGTTCTATCAGCCAAAATAGTACAAAGCACTATTTTATGTTAGGTAGGTATTTTACTCATTCAATGAATTTTCCTGTGTGAAGAAATTAACTGAAGATGAATAAGCACAAGTAAAGTACCCAGTTTAGGTAAGATAGATTTGTAAACAAACAGCTCTTGGAATCACTTTTAAGCTTTTTTCTTAATAGCTATGTAAAGCAAGAGCAAAAGTGGAGATAATGTAGTTTACCCAGTTTTAAGAATTGGCAGAGGCTATACATTTAATCCTTGTCTCCACCAACTTCTCATCTTGTTTTTCCTTTGAGGATGCATTCATCCATCTGTCCAATAAATAGTTAAGAGACTACAATATGCCAAAAACTAAACAATAAGGATTAAGTAGTGAACAAAACAGAAATACAGTGGGGGAGATACAGGCAAGCAAACAAACAAAAATATACAACAGGGTAGGAGGTAAGTGCTATGAAAGGAATACAGTGCAGGGTGGAAGTACTCTATTTTATATAGTGACAATCCTGATAAATTGACAAGATAGGCCTGATAAGAAGTTAACATTTAAGCAGAGATCTGAAAGAAAAGAGGGAGCAACTCACAAGAAAATCTTGGGGAAATGAGTTCAAAGGAAGAGAGAAAAGAGTGTGTAAAGGCCCTGAGGTGGAAATAGGCATGGCTTGCACAAGAAGCAGAATAAATAAGGAGAATAAAAAATCCAGTCAGAGAGGAAGCAGAAGGGCCAGATTATAGGCCATCAATATAAAGGTTTTGGATTTTACTCTGAAAAGACACTAGAGGATACTGAATACTGGGGAGATAATGATATAACTTACACTTCAGAAAGGTCACTCTGGCTGCCAGACTGTGGGGCAAGAGTGCAAACAGGGACATCCATTAGAAAGCTAGTGCAATGAACCAAGTGAGAACTGACGGCAGTTACAGACTACAGTGGTAGTGGGGGCAGCAGAGAGACAAGTGGTTGGATTCTTGAAAAGCTGCCTCTGTGAATGCAAGTGCATATATAATGGGGGTGTAAATAAGGGTTATTGAGAAGAAAATGATATGAAAGGATGATAAAAGGGGCGCCTGGGTGCCTCAGTTTTTGAGCGTCTGCCTTTGGCTCAGGTCATGATCCCAGCCAGGGTCCTGGGATCGAGCCCTGCATCGGGCTCCCTGCTCCGTGGGAAGCCTGCTTCTCCCTCTCCCACTCCCCCTGCTTGTGTTCCCTCTCT